CACCCAAGAAAAATGCTGGAAAATATTGGTTTTTCTTGGAAGATCTAGTCCAATGGAGTACACATCATCTTCTTTGACCCAATGAATTGTGCTATTCAACTTAATTTTCCGAGTACCAATTTGAAAAATTAAGTACATTGCAGAGACAAAAATATTGACGTAGTAGAGGATTATTGGTGGCGACTATGGCCTTTATCAAACCTCCATTGGTGTAAATAGAAGATGCCCTAAATGTGGCTCCATGTTTATCAAATTACCAACTTCACTATTGCTATTGTTTCATTATGTTCATGACTTTTTATAATGCAATGATGGATTCTTGGCGGTCAACAAAGGGTTTAGTTAGTAAAGATCGAACCGTATAGTTAGTTACCAATGAAAAAATCACGTTTGTGGATCTTTACAATTGTTTTTCAAATCTCAGACACCTATTTTTATCATAAAAAATAGAAATCACTGCCATAACATATAGGGACTATGAGTTTACCAAAAACTTATGGATGAATAGTATGGGCCTTCTTCAAATTAATCACAACGTTTCTTTTAATTTTGTATGGGCTCCAAACCCATATTTATCATATGGTATGGACTATAAATGGCGGCTTATTCTTTCTGCACCTCAATAATTTCTTTTGTAAGCATCAATATTTTTTTATTTTAAAATCAGTAATTTATTGATGATTTAGATTTTTAATCACATAGCATGGTGTGCATCCAAAAAGAAAATGTATTTGATTTATTTTGCGGTATTTTAAATTGTTGAATCTATAACTCATTTTATGATTGTGATTTTTGAAAATGTATTATGAAATATAAATTATGGATTCTTGAATTCGGAATCCATTTCTAAAAAAAATACATTTTAAAAATGTGTTTTGAAAAACATAATAAAGAACTCATTTCTTATTATGTTTTTTGAAAATGTAATCCAAATAATTTTTAAAAGTGTGTCAGAATCAATTTTTTAAAAATATATTTTTAAAAAACACAATTTGAAAATACAATTCAGAACTCATGGAATAAACTTTCTAAAACATATTTACATTATAAGTAAAATTATCTTAAAAAAAAAAAAAATCATGGGTGTAAAAAGAAACCACCTAAATGCCCGTGCCTGATTGGACTTCTTATCCAATGGTTCTTTTGGATTTAAAGTTTACTTTATTATCTCTTTTCTTAAAATACAGCTAAAATTTATATCAATAAAAAGTCACATATTAATAGACAAAAACATCAAAGATGAATCTATCTTCATCGATACAATATTTATTTTTAAAAGAATGCAAAATAATAATAAAAAATCACATATTGAAGGTGAAAAAGGATAAAGAAAAGAATAATAAAAAATAAAAAATCGCTTGAGCCTTGATTGTTGGTCATCAAGTTATTCGAATGCCTAATTGTACTTGCTCAACTAACCAGCATCCACACCTAATTATATTGATAGACATAATCCAACATGCATGTTGATACCCAATAACTCAAGCTATTGCCATTCTGCAATCTGAATTTTCAAAAGTCTAATAATAATTTGGTACTGACTTGAGACTGATAATGATATAAATGTACTTTTTTTTCTTGGGAGATTCCACTGAGCCATTTTTGCAATCTTATAAATCTACTATAGAGATATATTCCAATAATATTTAGGTGGTGCATGTGAACCACCAGAAATAGTAAGGTACAGAGACACGCGCATCTGCACGTGTGATTTTTCTTTCCTCCTCTGATTATGTCCATGCATCATGTACTTTTCGATAAACATGACCGTGAATTAAACAAATACATATTCTTTGTGTTCTGGCTATGTTTTTCTTTTGTTGGTGATTAAGATATGAGGTCAACTAGTGGAAGAGAGAGAAGAGAAGTGGATGAATGAGATATTTATAATTCAAGTAGGAGAAGTAGGGTGGCGATGCAGAGCCCCTGGCACTACATCCATCACCTACATATTTAAAGAAAAGCATCCACTACGAGAATCATAGTTTTGGGAAGTTCAAGTTGTATTGTATATAATAAGCTACAGGTCTGTTTCCTAATGACGATCCAGGAAATATATATTTTATCCACATTTGCCAAAAATAAAATGAATATTTATATATATAACTCCGGCTGCGAACTGCAACTCATCTAATATATAATAATATGCAAGGGCAATGAATGGTGTAAAACTAGTTCACTTACACACCTTTTAATGTTATATCAATTTATATATCACTAATAGCTCTACATAAAAATGCCTTTTTTATTAACTAGATCATTCATTATATTTGTTTATTCATTCGATAGGTTTTCTTCTTCTTCTTCTTCTTCTTTTTATATTGGTTTCTAACAAGCTATAAATTATTTGTTGTTGCTGTTATTAACATAAACGCAATCCATGACGAAGGGATTTTTAATAATATGAAACTTCGAACTATTTGGATATATCTAAAGAAATATTAAATTAGAATTTTAAAGATTTTGTATACATTAACTAGTCGTGCTAAATAAAATATGTATTAACATGCGCATAATATTAATAATTTTGTTTAAACAACCCTGCATTGTTGGAGTAAAAATGAGTTAAAATAAATTTTCGTATTTAAATTTTTGTGAAAATGAAAAAATTGAAAGAGTGAGTCATACTAAAAATGTATTCCACATTTGGTTTAAAACGTAATATGACTGGAACTAATTGCCAAAAATGTAATCCAAAATTTACTTGAATCCGTTTTTTTCATCTATCATGGTATGATTACAATTTTGAAAACCTTGAATGAATTGTATTGGAGACAAGTGCATAGTTATGATTGTAAGCACAAAGGGAGTTGAAATCTTTAATAGAGTCATCAGCTACTGAGTTTTATCAATGGATTGAGTTGCTAAAAACATGTAATTCATGGTCAGTTACATCTTTGGCATGTAAAATATAAAAAATTAGTTGGTGGAATAAATAGTTATAATTAAGACAGATTATATTACGGGTAAGTTCGTGAATAATTTTTTTATATAAATATTTTCATATATATTTTTGGAAAAATATAATAATCTTTTAAATTTTTATTTATTAATTAATATTTTTATTAAATAAATTGAAAAAATTATTATATTTATATATCAAAATAACTAACTATAATTAATAATTTAAATTTAATTAATTCATTTTTATAATTTAAATTTAATCAATTAATTTTTATAATTTAAATTGTAATATATTTAAATATTTTAATAATATAACAAAAAATATAATATATTTAATTATAATAATTTTTATTTTTATTTTAATATATAAATATTATTTTAATAGTGGTCAGTGGATTAGTCCATTCTGTGTCTAATTCATTTTACCATCTAATTTTATATCGTGATATTTTCACATAATATGTGATTAAGAGTCAGAGATCCGATTCACATATATTCATTTTAAACATATCATTATTTTCTTCGGCTATAATTTTTTTTTTTTTCTGAAAATAAAGTAAATCCACAGAGCCCATTATGCAGTGGAACAAGAGGAATTGTATTTAAAAAAAAAAAAAAAGTGAACAAACCATGTTGGCTTGCTTTGAAAGCTCCTAGTCTCCTTTTTTACAATTCCTTTTTTTAATGTGTTTGAATGGATGCTATCAAAACTAATTTCAAATGAAGGGATTTTAAATTGGATATTTTATCTTCAAAACTTAATATAAAGCTATCGACTCAATACAAGTTACTTAGTGAAACAGAAAACTTGAGTTGATATAAATTTGATTAAACATATAAATTTTTGTGAAATCAAACCAAACACTCATAAAAACAAAGTCGTTCGTTTTTAATTCAAAATAAAGTAGGTTTACATCACACCAATTCAGATCACTAAATGTGCGAATAAGTATTTTATTTTTGTATTAAAATATTTTTTTCACTTTGTTTGGGTGTTGAAGCGGGTAAAGTTGAAAGAGAGAAAAAGAATAAAGAAAGGAATGTGGCAAATAGAGGAGCAGAAGATATAAAAATGATAATAATAAAGGGCAAGTTGGGCTAGCGTGTCAGGGACACGAGGAAATTAAAATAAGTGAAGGGTCCACGTGAAAATGACAAGTGTTCTAGGTACGTGCTCAGATTCATGCATGGTTTCAACTTCAAAAATATCTGGCCCATACCTGGAATCAAGTTTATATAATTCTCTGAACCCAATAGAACTTTCCCTCTTTTGCAAATGCACCTGCACCAAAACTACAACTTCTACACTCTTACGTTTCTTTTTCTCTCACCCCCCACTTTTGGCTCATCCATTTCGATAATCTTCAAACCCAATTATCCAACTCTGTTAGTTATTAAAGCCTGTCCCTCTCGTGCGTGCCAAACGTTGACACCACAACCTTTCTATATTTTCATGTCATTTTTATGATCCTAGTGCCCGACATTCATTATTCTGCTAACGTTATTTAAGAGTATTACGTTTTTGTCAAAGGTAAAATCTTTTAGTAGTGAAAGTGGGGTATGCTTTAATACGTAATTTTCATGTCTCTATCTCTTTGCTTCAAATCTCGAGCATAAACTGAGCAGTAGAATAAATGGTAACTAGCAGATCCTTTCACAAATATAGAATTTAACAATACAAGAAACGAATACGTACTTGGTTTAAATTATTCAAACACTGTTTTTTCAAGAGCTTTTACGAACTTGATAATAGAAATACCAGTTCTCTAAAATGAGTTCCAATACACCCTAGAATTACATCTGACATAACCTCTTTTTTTTCATTCTTCTGATTGATTGGATATATGTGGGAAGACGCATGTACTACTAGATTTGGAGCTACATACATGGCAATAACAACGTGAAGACATTGAAAAGAAACTAATCTGTATACCATTTTTTTCTTATGAAAATCGTGTGTATAATAATATCTCTAAGCAGAAAATTGCTAGCAAGAGGGAGTGCCAAAGAGTGCTGTGTTCTAATTCTACCAAGAATGTGACTTAAAATAACTTCAATACTTGAAGCTTAAGTGTTACAACTTGCACCCTCCATTCTCAGAGAACATTATTTCCCTGCATCAGGATTCTTCTGAGTTCACTAGCAATTCCTTGCAACAAAACTGGTTTACGGATAACTCCATTAATACCAACTTGCATGCATCTGTCCCACAAATCTTCTTCTGCACTTGAAGTCAATGCAACAATCATTGGCCGATTTCCACTTCTAAACTTCCGAATCCTCGTGGCAACTTCAAAGCCATCTAAATCAGGCATGTGAAGATCTAAAAGAATGACTTGAATGGCAGATCCAGCAGGTCCAATAACAGTAAGGCATTCAAATCCTGAAGCAACAGGAGTTACAACACAACCTAGTTTCTGAAGCAATTTTTGGGTCACTACCCTATTTACATCATCATTGTCCACTAAAAGAACTTGCAGGCTTTTCAGCATAGAATTCGAATCGGAACGCTCTGAACCTTCTCCAGGTTCAGAGATGGCTATGGTAATGGATGGTCGTAATTGAAACCGAAGAAGAAGTGTCATACTTTGAGGATAACCATGAGCACAAGGCACTAACCATATGTTCCCCTGCATCAACTGCAATTAACATAATAGAAAGAAATTTATTACCAAGTCAAAAGAAAAAAGAAATTAAATAAACAATCAATGCTGTATAAAACAACACTATAATTCAAATCCTAAAGAAAGTAGAAAACTACACGCTAATTCATATAATGAATTTTAAACAATCAAGGGCATCAAGAAGAAAAATACAGTCAAAATATTGTATCATTGTGTGTAGCTATGCACCAAGATAATAATATCAACATGCGTTACCTCCAATCTCCCTGGGCTATACCTAAAAACATTTCTAGCAAGTGTAAAAAATAACCAAATTCAGTTATTTTTGTCACACCAAGCTACTAAAGACATGGGTAAACAACCATCCTGCTGAATTTATCATCTAAAGGCTCACAAAAGGAATAATTTGGTTTGGATACTGAAGAACTGCATAAAATGAATTTTCACCGACAACTCTAAAATACTACTTATATAGCACACGACTCAATGTAAATCCGTGTCTTAATGCATCCACTATAACAATGCAAACACATGATAGGCTTTATGAAACTCACCTGTACTACCCTCTTGCAGATATTGAAGCTCAATCTGCCGCCAACCCTATCACTGTTAAATTTCCTACCCCCAAATCCTGATGAAACTGAGCTCCCGACTTCAGAATCAGTACTGTTGATCCCTATCTCAAATCTAATATTTACATCCCCACTAGAAGAGCTTGGTCTCCAGGTTGTCCACCCTTTATCACTTCTTCCCTGACTTCCAGTTTCCGCAAAAACCCGAAATACAAGGATTCCTCCCCCATGGTTGTGTTCTAGAAGGTTCCCAACCATGTGTAAAATCACCTGAAAAACCCTCCTCTCATCACCCATAACATTGTCAGGCAAAGATTTCTCAACCTCAACCATAAAACCAAAGCCCCTATAAACACACATGCATCTGGAAAGGCAAGCCGATTCCTTCAGCATGGAATGTAACCCAAAAGACCTTATCTCCAAAGGAAATCTTCCATCATCCTTAGTTGAGTTGTCCATGGCATCGTTTATCAAGTTTGATAGGACATTGCTGGTCCTAAGCATTGCATCCACGATAAGTTTCTGTTCATTCTTTAAATTATCATCTTGTATCATTGAAAGCAATCCCAAAATTGAGTGCATTGGTCTCCTCATTCCATCACTCATGACTTTCTGAAATGCATTTCTCGCCTGGCTTGCCATCATAGCATTCCTTCTTGCGTGTTGCAAAGCTCGATTTTGCTCCTCCAACTTCTCTCTCATAAGTTGGGACTCTTCAAGAATTGCAGCATGAGATAGAGCCACTGCAACCTGATCAGCTACCACCTTAATTATCTCCAGCTCCTGATTACTCCAGGATCTAGGCTCTCCAATAGGAAGAGGCTCTCCAATTGGAAGAATTAAGACCAATATTGCATAACAAGTCTGTCTTAGCTCAGGTGTTCCTCCTTTGAAATTACAGACACGTAGCATTGGCATTCTGATAGCAGCAACTGGCCCTGCCTCTCCAGAAGCTCCACTACTCCCGACAGCAAGAGCTGAGTCAGAGCTAAGTATATTCACACCGTCGCTTCCCTTAATTCTCACAACATCTGGATCAGTGATGGGTATAGACAAATTAAAATTCCTCCCATTTAATTCATGAGTGAGGTTCATCTCGGTCTTATCAACATTAGGCATCCACACAGCACAATTTTGCAAGCTCAGTGTTTTAGACAGCTCCACCAAAGTGGTATACAGAATAGTATGTCTATCGAGTGACTTGCGTATCTCCTGAGTAAGCATTCTTACATGCATTGCAGCCTCCTGTTGTCTCATAATGTTATCAACCTCACGTCCAAGATCCCATGTCTTTTTCTTCAGCATGAACTCTCTGACCTTCACCTTGAGAAGCAAAGGAATAAGAGTGATGAGGGTTATAGCGGTGGCACACGACACCAATGCAGTGAGAATTTTAGAGACAGTAAGTGCCACCATAAGTTGGAAAGTGTGAGGGCCATAGGTCCACCCATTGAGCAAATGTGTCAATCCACATAGTACAATGAAGGCAATGAACTGAATCAGGACCCATTTGAAGGGGACGTTTGAGCAACTTATAAAATAAAGCAGCTCAATTGGGATGGAGAAGTAGGCCACAGCAATCAAGAAATCACCAACTCTCTGACACTCCAGAATGCTTTCAATAGGCCACAAGCTGGCCTCATCATCGCAGTTACATCTAGGAAATCCATTATCATTTGCAGATACACATATGAGGACAGAGGTAATCAACAGCCCAGATGCCACTGCTTTTAACATTGATCCAATATGTTGCTGCTTCCTCAATCCATCTAAGGATATAACTTAATGGGCCATAGTCACACCGCAGTGAACACCCTTTCAATTGTATCCACCTATCAACAGATGTACAAAAAATTGAAAACTCAGTAAGATCCAAACCAAAGAAAAAGAAATACGCGAGATCCAAATCAATGAAAGGTTACATAATACATACAAATCTTTAATTCTTTCCCAAATTAAACGATCTAAAACATTTAACTCCTGTAATTTCAGTTTTAACCTTCTTCCATGCCCCTACTATTAGAGTGGTATGAATCAGCGAATAATACAGTGCCAACAGGTGAAGAGGACATTTCCATCAACCCAAACGGAAAAAAGAAAAACCATGTAAAAGAAAAGGATTAAAAGAAAAAAAAGGAATAAAAGAATCAGGAAAACCCAAGCTATGCTATAAACCTGGGGGAAGGCAAAGCCAAAAAAATATTATTAAAAAAACAAAGTCCAACAGGTTTAAAACTCCTTCAATCCCCCACCCACCAAAAAAAAAATAGAAATAAGAAAATAAACCAGAAACCCAGGAATGTAGTCCAAAAGAAAAGGCAACAGTACCTGAGGAATTACAGCCACTTAATGCAATCAGATATCCCAACTTCATCAGATCTTAACCTACCCTGGAAAGACCAAAACCGTGTTAAAGATACCTCACTCACTAACAGCACATTAACCAAATCTCCTGTAGCTTGTCGAGTATCAAATCAAAAGGCTCCAGCAGCAAAGTCCATTACTTTGCACACGTTTAATCAACAACGCCAACAACAAGTGCACCCACCTCCACCACTGGAAGACCAAAGAAAGAAACCCACTTGAAGGAACCACCAAATCTCAACTTATCAATTAAAAAAAGGCATCTTCACTGTGGCACAAGGCGCTGTAGCACGGAAACAGGTGCGGCCCTTTTGCGGAAAACCCCTCCTCCTCAAGACCAGTGCTGGTAGACAAACCAAAACAACACAAAGGAAAACGCAGTCCCTACGCCACAGCCGAACCCAGGCGAAGAAAAATAAAAATGAAGTGTTGTAGTTGTATGCAGAGAATCTTATTAACCTTTTGGGCAATACCCTTTGTGTATTTGGCAATGCCAAACCACAAACCATGTAGAGAGAGAAGGCGCCGTTGTTTCGTGGGAGAGGAGAAATGGGTGAGTTGGATGGGATTTAGAAGAGGAGAGAGAAGAGGGACCCCACATTCTTACATGAAGAGAACTTGGACGCTCTTAGGAACCAAAACGTCCTCGTCACACCAAAAAAGATTTGTTTTATTTTTCACCCTCTTTCCTTTTCAGTTTCTCTCTCTTTCTTCATGTCTCCATTTATTATACTATACTTTATTTTATTATTAATAAAATATCATTTTTATTTTCCTATGAATTCCCCCATTCAATGTTCGATCTTCTTGTGTCAGAAGCAGGACTTGTTTCCCTCCTCTTTCCCTTCTTTCTCTCTCCTCTAGTAGCAAGTAGAAGTAGAAGAATTTTTTTGTAATGCTGTTTGGAATTAGATGCCACGTGGCAGTAGCAGAGTGCAAAGCTGGGTCACCTTGTTAATTCAGACTCGCACACAGAATTATCCGCATGCCTGGATAAAATAAGACTGTGTCTTCCCCATTTATAATACACTTTCTATCACAAAATTATATATATATATATATATATATATATATATATATACAGCGAACTAACACACCCACCAAAACATGTGTACGAGTAAGACATCCCACTAATGTTAGATTCAAGTTGTAGTCTTTTTGAATTCCAAACTTGTTACTTATGCCAAATGACCATCACCACCAAGATAAATCAAGTTGTAGTCTTTTTATCTTATTTTCAGTTTTATGTTCATCATTTATCTCATACATCTTTTCCAAGATTCTGAGATCAAATTTTAATTTTACTTTTAATATTGTTTATGCATTTAAGTTGTGTAACTTGAAAAAACAAAACTTGGCTTTAGATTATTACAATATTTAAATCTCACGCCAACATTGCCCACTTGATATTAGTTTGTCGTGAGTAGATCGATTCCAGGTAATTATATTTATAAAATAATATTTTGTATAGAAAAATAACATTTACTTCAGTAGTGTCTACGTTACATTAAACAAATTAGTCTCAGGCTTTTTATGGATATTCTTCGTAAAAATAAAAAATGTTATGTATGTATATGTAGTTACATTTTTTTAGTTTTTTTATTAAATAATATGAGTATCGTCTTGTAAATAATATGTATAGATAACTTAAATATTTGTAAATATAATTTAGTAAAATAAAACATTTTTACTTTGAAAATATTTTTGCGTTAATGCATAATGGAGGGGTGAAATATTGATTTAAAAAATTTATAAAATTTAAATGTTTAATATATATATTTGACTATAATTTATAATATAATAGTTCAATTAACAACATTTAATCATTATAAATTTTGTTAAGAAAATGAAACCTTGTTAAGTTTTGTAGTATTAAAGAACTTTTTATAAACTACATCAAATTGTAAAATATTATATAATTCTAAAATTTAATTAATACCTAGTAATTCTAATTTATCTTAAAAGATAAAATTATCGATTACATCTCATTATTCAATTCAGCGTCGAAGTATTTTACTCTTATCGAAGTATCTTACTCTTAAAAAACCCGGAGATCGGTTCATATTCGGTTAGAAAAATAAAAAATTGTATTATTATTGAGACAAATGTTAAATATAATATATGTTTTAAGTTTGAGTAAAAACAGGGAATATGCATAAAGTGATTTATATAAAATCGTATAAAATGTTTTGTGAAAGTAAAAACTTCACCAAAATCAATAGAATAAGAATCTGTTTGGTATGGAAATGTTTACCTGAAATGAAAATGTGCTCACACCCTGTTGGAGAAAACTAAACAAATTCTATGTATTCAATCGTGGCGCACATATTTTTGCGGGATGAAATAAAAGATAAAATAACATATAAAAAAGTAAAAAAATGTACATATAGATAAACTGACTATTAATCATAAATATTCAATTTTACATTATCAAATTCAAATACTATATAATGACTATTAAATATAAATATTTAATTTCACGTTTTCAATATATTCATGGATTTAAGAAAAAAATATAAATTTTATATTAATTGAAAATAGTAATTTAATTATAATATATAATTAAGATTTAAATATTATTTTATGGATTTTGTAAGATTTAATATTCATCTGTATGTAATAAAAATTAATTATATATTCTAAAAAAAAGTCATTCATCTCGTGAATAAAAACTTAAGGATGTAATTGCTTATAGATATGTTAAATAAAAATTACTTATATTTTACATAGATTGAAATTTGATTGAGTCCTATCCAAACAATATTATTCTACTGTTAAACTTAAAAGTGTATAATTTTATTTTATTTTTAGTTTTGGAAAAATTATATAAGCAAAATCGTAATGCCCAACATATTTTCGAAAATCAATGATTACTTGTTTAATAAATGGAATGTATTTTTCAATATTTATTTAAAATAAATATTACTTTCCGAGTCTTCCACCTTGCTTTTAGGATTAATGTGTTATTAATTTTCATTTTGCAATTATATTTGACTTCATTATTTGATAAACTCAGTCTTTAAATTCATGCATTTACAATTTAGTCAATTTTATTTTCTGTTCAAATTTACTTTCCTACTCCTTTATATTCTAAGTGTTTTTTTTTATTAGTTATATATATGACTTTGTTTTTAATTACTGATTCTTTTTACTAATTTATTTTAATTAGGTGATAAGTTTGAACAAATAGAAGAAAAATTGTTTCATCTAGATACGTACAGACTCTCAAAAGTTTGATATTTATTATCATAATATTGTTAAAGTATTTTTAATATTAATTCTTATGAGTAACATAGTGAAGTTTTTTTACTTTAAACATGATTTTATATGTCCTGTTGTTTTGAAGTAATTAATTATGAATTTGTTTAAGTTTTATTTCAATTAATACTTTATATAAACATTCATATTTTATAATTTTTTATCTATATTTCATTTAACAAAAATAATTTAATTAATATAATTTAATTTTAATTTAATATAATATTTTAACAAACTTATCTTATACATTAATTATGTAAGGTTAAATTAGGAATAATCTCTATGTTTGGGGCATTATCTAATATGCACCTAATTCATACATATTAATTAATAGTAGCAGTGATGATAGGAGATTAAAGGGTGTTTCATATATTTTTGTAATCTAGTACCGTACAGCACTATACACCTCACTGTAACAAACTTGTACTATCTTCAATTTAAGGATTATCATAAACGTTTTCTTTACATTATTCATATCACAGCTACTATTCTAGGAACCAGTAATTCGCTTCAAGGATATGGATGCAACCTCACTATTATATGCAATTTTATATTTTTTTTCTCTTGAAATGATACATTTATTTTGCATAAATTCCCATAATCAACATATTTTATAAAGCATGATTCTTCTCCTTGTAGGAATAGATTTAGGTGAGGGGCTAATTTTAATTCACCAAGTCTAAAGATCTGTGGTTATAGTTGACTTCTATGACCACCACTAGTTGAATCCAATTTTAGATATTCTCAATTAAAAACAACGTGGTATAAAACATTTTATTCACGTGCTCAATTGTCTGTGGAGGTAGATAATAGATGGACTTTTGATTCGCGTAAAACATTTATTTCGTTTGTACCTTTTTTTTTTTAGTTATTTGAAATTGTTTTCTTTAAATATAATTTAAAATAACTCTTAAAAAGAATCATATGTGCCCTTTAATTATAATTGAAAACATTTATGCATGATTAGATTATAATTACTTTACAGATTAGAGAGGAAGTGTAAGAGAGTACAATGCACCTTGCTCTACCAACTGTTAAAATGATTCATGCATAGGAATAGGAATAGCTGGTCACAGTTTTTAAAACCACCTAGGTAAAGTCTATGAGTAAACAGTGATCATTATTATTCTATGGACCAAAACTCGATTATGGCAATGGCAGCGTTAATTGCGTCATTAGTGAATAGGTCAAACCGTGTAACTTAATTTTTATAACATTTTATTTAAAGTTTAGTTAATATAACAGTTTAAAATAAAATAAAGAAGAAAAATATTATTTATTAAAATACAAAAGAAATAGGATATATTAAGAAACGATGACAGTGTCACAGTGTTAGTGTTTCACAGTTATTCTTAAAACAAAAAAAGGTAACCAGATCACCAAAAAGGTCAAGTTGCTAATTTAGACAAAATTTGTCATTTTTTCAAATTTACTGTTTGCATTTGCAGATTCTGTATACAAGATGTCAAATGCAGTTTTAATTCCAAATATCTATCTGGATCCATGGAAGGAAAGGGGTGGAAAGAGGAGAGGAGACGTGTGAGGAAAGTGCTGGTCCACAAGGTAAAAATATTAAATCTTTTTTTCATACACTTAAATATAATCGATTAAGAATTTTTCATAATTGATTATGTATCAATTTTTTATTTTTTAAAATATTATATTAATAAATAAAAATATTAAATTTATTTCAAATTAATAAAATAATGTTTTAATAATTACATTTTTTATAAATTTTTTCAATCTAAGTGATTTTATTTTCTATTATTATTTTATTTTTTTTATTCCCTCAAATCTACTCTTTTCTACTTCCTTAAATACCCTCTTCAGTAAAAACATAACATTAATAATGTTAATTTAATGCATGCCAAACGGTTTACCCAAATTTGTATATATCACTAAATCAACTAACTAGGCCCATTAGATCTTAATGTGTAAAATTTTCAATAAATAATAGAAAATTAAAAAACCATTAAATTAAAATTACTGGAGCATAATTTTATTAAAGAACAATTATTCTTTATTTTGTTATTTACTTCAATAAAAAGTATACAAAGTTATTAAATCAAATCATATCAAAGGGCTTACAAATTTCATCGCAAAATTGTCTTTAAAATACAAAATCTTGGTCTAATCGCACTTATCCTAAAGATTTGTGTTGATAATGACATGTTTGTCCACACTATTCGATTGTAACCTTTTTATTTAAGATTTTTTTTTTCTGCTTACTTTTTCAAGGAAAATAAATCCTTCCCTTGCTAATTTATTGAAATATAAATAGTTGGATTTGGAGGAAGAAAAAAAAAAGTTAAAATTATCATTCAAATCCTTTCCTAGGTCTCTATTTTTTTTTTTTTCCTGTGGTAACAATTAATAGAAAAATTGGAAAGGTTTCAAGGAGAAGTAACATAGAAGAAAGGTACAAATATTATAGTCAAACACTGGACAGTAAAACGTCAAAGGTGTGACAAATCACAATAAGCGTTAATGATTTGTTTTCTTCTTTTGGTAAACATCGGAAATTTCAAATGAATACCTCTGTTGAAGATGGTCACTTTCTCAGGCACTTAATTAAAGATAGGAGAAAAGGAAAGAAAAAGAGTGTGTTTTACTTTTACAGGGAACATGTTTTCTTTCAATGTTTTTTTTTTTTTTTTCTGCCTTTTAGTCCCCTAATTCCTTCTATGTCGACTTAGATAACTGGTTTCGCCAAACCATCAACTAAGGTTACAACCTTTCATTACCATATTTTACACGCAATCAAATACATAGGTCACAAAATAAATTAAAGCATATTTGTGATTTTTTTTCTTTAACAGAGAAAAATATCACTCTTGTTTGTGCAAGTGGATTGAGTAGAAAAATAAATAAATCAAAGTGACTTTTGTTATTGTGATATGTTCTTTATCTGTCTAACTCAACAGCCATAAAAATTAAAATTAAAATAATTATTTTTAAATATTTGTTTGATCAGAATCCAAATATTACTTTGTAAATGTTTCAAATTTAAAAGATTGATTCTTTTAGACAAAATATAGTTAAAAATATTATAAACATTCACAAATATTTGTATTTAGAATATTGAGTAAATATAATTAAGAAGTTTTTTTTTGTTTGCAAACTTTAAAGTTTTCTGTAATTTATCACAATACACTTACCTACCTATTATGTAAGCCTAAGTTTAGTTTCCATTGGATTATTCTTTTAAATATTAAGAATGTTATTTTTATGTTTAAAATCGATTTCATAAATAATTGAAGAATTTTTAAGTTGATCATATAACTCATGTTAGTATTTTTTTAAAAATATTTAAGATTTTAAATATGATTTTAGTAAAAATTTGTAGTATGTATTTAATTTATTTTAAATTTTATTGTTTATAACATGAGACAAAAGACGATACAATATTCAAATAATATATTTTATTGTGTGATCGATCCAATGATTTTATCACATGCAATTTTTTCCTTTAAATATATAATTTCAAAAATCTTGTTAAAAATTATTATTTATTATCATAAATCTATAATAATAAAATTAAATTATTTAATAAATATAATAACATAATTTTAACTAAAATATAATGATTCTATATAAAAACAGGACAATTCATTTTAAAAAATATTTAAAAATTATATTATAACTAAATTGGTTCAACTCATGAAAATCTAAATATTTTAAGATAATAATGAAAATAATACCAAATTTGATCCCTAAAATAAAATGTGATGCGGCGAAAACATATATCTAGATGATAAATACAAATTTTATACAATTTTTTTATTATATTTTACCTAAAAATAAAAATCTAATTAATTTGTTCACACTAGGGATATTTAGTAACTTTTAGATTATAGGAAAGAAAATGACTTGAAAATCAAATTTGGATGATACTTGATTATTAAAATACAATTACGTGTTTGATAATTCTTGAATTCCCTCCTGATTTTATGAAGTCTATTTGATTTTTTTAAGCAAATTAAGTCTAATAATTTAATAAAAAAGATTTAACTAAATTTGTTTAGTTCTATTATACTTCCACAATTAAATCTTTTATAAACCGGTTAAGCTAAGTTTCTATTAGATACTGCTACTGTGAGAAATATAATTTCTCTGAATAAATTTATCACTATAAGCAAAAAACAATAAAATAAAATAAATATTTTTATAAGTTCAAATTAACACATATTTAAATTTTAAATATAATTCTTAAATTTTATATATAATTTTTTTTTCAAATTAAAATATGTATAAATTAAATTTAGTTTAATGATTTTTTAATAGAGTCCTAATCCTATTAAATTACGTATTGGTGTAAGACATCTCAGACTATGAAGGTTCTTGCACCTTTTTTTCTCCCATTCACATGCTCACAGTCTTACTTTCTTTACACAGTCACTGAGTTAGTTACGAAGAAGCAAAACAGATTTTGGCATTTTTTTAACACATATATAATTTAATTTTTATAAAAATTTTAGTCTTTTAATTTTATTATATTTTATACATTTAACATTCCAAAAAAAAAAATTAAGATAACAAATATTAAAATATTAAATTGATTATGTTTTCATATTTTGTTATGCACTCCAACAGAATTAGATTGAACTAAATTGGATCATATTTTTTTAAAGAATATTTTTTGTAAAAACTTTTAATTTTAAAATATCATTTGTTAAAATTTTCAAAATACTTTTTGAAAAATATATTATATTATTTAAATAATTTAGTATTTTTTTAAATATTTAATTAATAAAATAATTAAAAATTTAAATAATAATTATATTACTATTATAATTAATATTAATATTATTTAATAACTTTGGTCTCATAGATTAAATTTATAATTTAGATTTAAAAAAAAACTCAATAATTTATTATTGAGTTTACCAGAGTCAGTGAACTTAATGAATACATCTTACTTTATTACTTTATGCGTTGTTGTGTTTAAAATTCTATTGTTTCATTGCAGCATTAAATAAAGAAGATGTAATATTTTATGAATGTTTGAGGTGAAATTCAGTTACTATAAAATGTAGGGTGATGATCTTTTTGATAACCGAAAGAAAAAAACTCAAAAAATAATTCATTTTATTAATATAATAATCATAAAAGAATTTAAATAAAAATAAAAAATAGTTAAAATTATTATTATAATATAAAATACAATGAATATAATAATTATGAAAAAGTTTAAATAAAAATAAAAAATAATTAAAATTATTATTATAATATAAAATACAGTTGTTTACAGGTGAATAGTGGTGTCAAAATATCTTTTTCTTAAAATGTAAATATATATTCTATAAATAATAACTGTATATTATCTTTAGTATACATACTACTGACATCCAATGGCCACAGGTTTTGCTTTAAAGTTTACTATTCAAAGATTAAGTTTTAGTGTTATTTAAAATGTTAGAAATTCGTCATGATAATATGGAGGAGGAATGCATGAAGATAATTTTTTTTTTTTTTTCAAATTCAAATATAACGAAACTTCGTAGAAGCCAACAACATGAAATTTATGCATCATAGCATTCAAGAGTTTAGAGCCTAAATGATATAATATAAATATCAACAGTATAAGAGATAATTTAGAATATATAAATATCAATAGTATAAGGGATAATTTAGAATGTTACAATCTTATAAAAAATTTATGAATTTAATAGTGAAAAGAAATAATCACTTTTATTAAAAGAGTTAATTATAAAGAATGTGAAAATCATTTAATACAATTAAATATTTTTGAATTATTTAAAAATTTAAGAAAATTACTTTTATTAATATAAAAAAAATTATAATATTTTAAAATAAAATTCAACTTATTATATTTAATAAAAATAAGGTTGACTCTATATAAAAACTTTATCATAAGAATTTCAAATATTCAATAAATAAAAATAAATATTAATAATAATTCGTAAACTTAAGAATTAAAAATTATTTAATGGAGATAATAAAAACTAATTAATCCATTAACTTAGAAATTAATATTATTTAATAATTTATTGTAACTGAAATATAAAAAACCAAACGTCAATTACCTTTACATCCTTTAGTTTCCGAAAAAACTGATTACTAAATTTCAATTAGATCCTTATTAAAATTTCCAATAAAATCAAACTAAAAATTTATTAATTAATTAATCTAAAATACAATTTGTTGAACCAGCCTAACCCTTATCACAATCATGCCCACTAGAGAGGGTCTGGGACACAACAACTTCCTCGTAAGCTCAAGGACAAGAACTACGCTGCTACTGAATAATCTGTGTGGGTGTGTAAATTTGACAAACCATGTAATTTGTGCGAACCACCATCATCAAGAACCAAGCCTTGGCTAAATAATTTAAGGTTGCAAACAACACGAATCTTTGATTGCTGGAGACTGACAAAGATTGGAATTCTGAATGTGTTGTATGTGAACATTTGAATATTCCGGGATTATGCATGTTATCCAAAACCAAGACCAAGAATCGATAATTTGTGGAAGAAATGATAAAATTTGAAGGATGAGGAATAAGAAAGGAAGAACCGAAGGAGTACTGAATCCTATCTTATCTAATGCACGCACATTGACCGACACGTCATACAGAAAAGTACATGCTACTAACTAATACATTGTTTGAGATATATACACCTCATCTTGACCAGTTTGTGAATGGAGTGGTTGGTTGGTATAGGACCATAGAACACATATTCCAATAACACATATTAAGCAGGATTGTGGAACATGCCATGACATATTCTCATTTTATTTTGGAGTTTCGGAGTAATTTATATTTAATTATTTCCACCACTCTTTTGCTTTTGCCATCGAAGGTTATTTGTAGTTTAATTTTGTAAAAATAAATAAATTATTATTAATTATTATTACATCTTGTAATTGATCTTGATTAGTTTTATTAGTTTTTAACAATATTGATTAAAAAAGATCGTAAAATAGGATTTTTCATCAAAATCAATATTGCAAGATTCTATTTTTATTAGGTTTAAGTTATTAATTTTATAGTGACTTAATTTTATTTTTTAAATGCAATTTTGTTTTAAATGAAACGAGTGTAATAAAATATTTTTTTATAAAAAAAGTGATAAAATCTCATTAATTCAAAATATGATATTATATTATATAAGTGAATATAATTCTTATGAAATATTTTTAAAAATTGAATTAGGTTAATTTTTTTTAATAAAATATCATAAATGATTATACATAAATAAATACAACTTTCACTTAATTTTATAAAATTAAGATATATATATATATATTAAACATCTTTATTTAAAAATTTCATTACCAAGAAAGACCATTATCCATAAAAGGGCAAACTCTCAAACATTACGAAGACTTTATTTTCTCATTTTTACGGAGCAACACTCTTAACAATGTTGATGCTTATGGATTTTTCCATTGATTCTCTATACAGGTACTCTTCCTCAATGGCTATATGCATAGCTAAATTCTCAAATTGTTGAGATTACATGTAATTGAATCTATTCTCATGTAATTAGTTTTTTTATTATTCAATTAGATTTTCTTTACTCAAATAAATTTGATTGAATTGTTATATATATATAAAGCACCCAAGACTTTTTACCTCAAGCGATAGGATAAAAAACATTGGACGTTGTTAATCCTTCTTCTTAAAGCAAGTAAATTGACTGCACTAACTGAAGGATTGAGAGTGAAATGAAGGGATTTAAGTTCTCTATTAAAGTTAGAATAATTATTTGTACGGCAAAGGTTAGGTTAGGTGCCAATGCAACCCGTACATGTGTGGAAGGAGTCAAATTTCGCGGTTCTTGGTTTGACAATTAAGCATGGTCTCAAAATATCTATCGTATGGGTTGCATTTTTCTTTTTCTTTTTTTTCCCTCTCTCTGCCCTCCTAGGTATATCTTTGACCAAACTATTTCTAGGACTAAAATGGTGACGGCAAGTGAAAATGAAGAAAGTTGGTGTTGTTATGTTGTTGTTTTGGGTGTCCATGGAGGAAGAGGTGTTGTCCTGTGCGAAAGTGACAGTTTTTTTTTTTTTTATCAAACATATTCTTTGCCAGATTTGTTGTATTAATTAAAAATAACATTATCTATAGTTTAAATTTGTTAACTATAACAGATGAAAAAGAAAATGTTAAAATGTATTTTGTACACTTTTCTTTGTACTAAAAGTTGCATCGCATAAAAAAAATTGTAGTCATTGGTCTTATATAATTAATAAATTAGTTTTACTGCAAAATAATATTTAAAATTTAAATTATGATTATTTTAGTAATAAAATCAAACTATAAAGATCATATCTTTTAAAATTTTCAATATAGTAAATAATTAAATTAAATGTTGAGGTTAACAGAAATTTGTATTATTAAAAAAAATTAATATATTTTTAAATATTGTTTATGCATCCAATAAAGTTAATAAATAGAAAATAGAAAATAATGAAATAACACTCAAAACTTAAGACATATAGTGATAATTTTCATTATCCAGATACATGTTTAAAAATATATATATTAAAATAACGTATCATGAGAATATATATATATATATATATATATATATATATATATATATATATATATATATATTATTTTTATGTGTCTTTAAGTTATACAAAATATATCATGTGATTTGTTTTGATGTTTTTGAAAAATATGTTTATTTTAAATATATAATTAATAATATATTTATGTGTTATGTATTTGTAATAATATGTTTCATTCATTCGTTTATTTATATATATATAAATAAATAAAGGGATTTATATGGTTTTGTATTTTAGTCTTTAAAAATTTATAAAGAGTAATTTTTGTTTTAATTGAGAGTAAATTATTAAGACGGTTTTTTTTATTCAATCAATATATTTTTAATTTATTGCGTTTTATATATTTACGATGATGGTAAGAGATAAAGTGAATAATAATTTATAAATATTTTTTTCTTAATTTATCACATCTTTTAAAAGTAAAGTTATAATGAAGAAGATTTTTAAAATAAATAATATTTTAAAAATTAATTCTAATAATATTATTATAATAGATACGACATATAAAAAATAATATTAATCTTAATAGACAAAATATATTCTATTTGTAAATCTCTTATCTTATGGGAGTACATAAATTTATTTAAATATAAAAAGTTTAATTTGATTAAGAATGTGATATTGTACATGTTTATATCTATTCGACCTTCTCCCCTATATCTTCGTGATATTCTTATTTTTTATTTGTGTGAATATGAGTTTCACAAACAATAAAAATTGTGGTGACTTGACATATATTTTCTTTACATTTATTTTATTAGTTTATAAGATAATCCTATTAAGCGTGAAATTGGTGCAAAAATTATTTATTTAATTTAATTTATTTTGAAGATAAATATTTTAAAGGTAGAAGAACGTCATAAATTTACTGTTAATGAAAGGATAAAATTAAAAATAAATGCTAAATTTGTAATAAAATAATAATAATAATAATATTTACATTGGGCATATCTAAGTTAAATTTTGTAATAACTAATTTCTTGTTGTTTGGGATGATAAAGTTGTGGAATGAATATATTGAATGCCATCCATAATTCATCTCAACTTGACGAACTTCATTATTTTATTTGGTATGATGTTTGACTATATAGAAGTGGGTATGGTTAGATCCAAATCCGTCCTCGGCAGGAATCAAACGCATGCACTGGCTGTGAGCCCTTACATTAGGCACAAAGCGCTTACCGCTAAGCCCCATACTTAAGCTAGAAGTTAGAGCAGCCACTGTATACACCAACGCTTGAGACCATTCCCCAATACACCGCTCGCATTCCCCCGCTCTTCGAGATTTTTCGCTGTAGTGAAAGGAAAATTAATATGATCAATCTTTTGGAGATTATCACTGAAACTGATATCAGTGAAAGATTCAGTATCCAGAAACAAGTGATGTTTAGCTGGATAATATTCCCCTTTTATGCTGTAGGGGTGTGTTGAGAATATTTCAATGAAATATTCCTCACTGTAATTGTTTAGAAAGAACAACATTCATAATTCATCTCAACTTGACGAATTTCGTTATTTTATTTGGTATGATGTTTGGCTATATAGAAGTGGGTATGGTTAGATCCCGATTTTAAGAATAAAAATAGAATGATTTGAAAATGTAGCATGGAGTATGGAGAGAGAGAGAAGTACAGAAAAAAGAGGAAGAATTGTGTAATGTAAAAGGATGTTTAATTGGAAATATAGGTGATGGTCATAGAAGGCTTGAAGTTATAATGAATGCATGTAGGTCAAGGATGGAGGGCCCTTTTGCTTTTAGGTTTCCACAACTCATTTACGCAATACATTGTATTTTGGTTTGAATTGCATGTACATGTATGCATGCTTTGAACCCTTTCAACTCACTCTTTCAAATGCCCTCTCATTCATTCTATTCCTCTCCTTTCTATAACCCAATATTCTAATCTTTGACTTATTCCCTAAACACAACACATTCTTTTTCTTAGACCAACTGTTTCAACCAAGGGCACTCATCATCTTTTGCCCCATCATATGAACTACTTTCTTTTCTTTTGTTTTTTTCTCCACAAAAAGTAAAAATGAACTTGATGCCCCATCATAGCTACAAACTACTGTATTTGTTTGTTTCAGAAAAGTAAATTTGAACTTGATTCCCCATCATGGGTAAGATGTCATGTCAAATTAATTACCACAGGATCATATCAAAATTACTCTTCTCATCTCTCAATATTTCACATTCTTTATTATCTACTAACTTCATCATAATCAATACGTTGTCAAAATCACCTCTAAACCCCAATTATGAGAGTGATAATAAAATATTATCCCTATTTCAGTTTTCAAAGCTATTTTCTAGCTATAGTTTGCATTTCTTTTATTATTTAGAAAATTTAACTTTTTTTTTAATTACTGTTAGTTTGTGATTAGATTAGAGATGAAATTTGAGAAATTGATTTAGAAAAATAAAAGATTAAATTATTTGAATTTAAGAAAAAACAGTGAAAATAATAAAAAAAAGTGCAAAAATTCTGATCCATAAGATTATCTAGCAGATTAAAAAAAATTAAATAATAAAGTAAATTTATAAATTATCAAAATATCTGTAACATAAATTTAATAAGAATAGATATAAATTAAAATTGATATATAATTTACATATAAATTAAAAACGATTTTATAATATTTTATAGATATATTTATAGTTTATAATTAATTTATAAGAAATACATTTAATTAAATTTATAATTGATGAATTAAAATTTATTCGATAATTTTTATAAGTTTATTTCTTATATTGTTAAAAATATAAGAATATAAATGATGAAAAATAATATTTAATTTTAAAATTATTAAAATAATAAATTATAAATATTTTAAAATACATAATCAATTATGTATTTGACATTATTAATTAGTTGATTTGACTGCATTTTGCGATCAATTTTAATCAATGATAAGGTTAGAGATGACAAAACGAGTCAGCCCACTCGTCTTTAGCCTGTCCCGTCTTTGGCTCGCCAAAGCGGGCGTGCCGATTGATCCGTTATAGTCATGATCGGACTGTAGATCTTGACTCGCCCCATCAAAGAGCAGGTTGGCGAGGTTGACTCGCCATAATTTAAAAAAATAATATTTTATTTTTTAAAATAATTTTAATGATAAGATTATTATTTATTTGTCCATAATTCAATATATATATTATTTCAATTTAATAATATAAATTAATACATTGTTTTAAGAAATTATAATTCAGAACAATAATAAATTTACATAATAATAAATAATAACAAATATATATATATATATATAACGTTAAAACTTATAAAATTTATATTTTTTATATTGAAAAATTCAAATACCTATATTTTTTTTATTTGATAAAACTTCACATTATTATTCGTTGAGTAATTCTTACACCTTTAATTAAAGTCATAAGGATAAAAATAATTAGTGTTTAGGACGAACAAGGGAACATGAGAGAGAATGTTATATTTCGAGTAAGGAAAATATTGTCTATGAGAGTGAAATTTTTTTAATTCTCTTTTTAAAATTTTTAACTTTATATAATATTTTTATAATTAATTTTATTACAATAAAAAATTATTTTTTTATTAATTAGATGGGCCGTTCATCGGCTCGTCCCGTCCCGCAGGTTGGCTGAACGAGCCAAAGCGGACTGGTGGGCTAAAAATATCAACCCGCCTCACCATGTTATGACTGACGAGACCTAACCCGTTTTCACATCCTAGATAGATAAAGTTAGATACATATGTTTTATAATTAGGAAAGATAAATATGAGTAAATATGCCTTTACAAATTAACAATAATACCCCAAACACAAACACAAATACATCCTTTAAATGAGAATTTGCGTTTGTAATTACAAATTAAACACCTTGAAGCAAAAAAATGGTTAGAAGTTCTACATCTACAATAATTTTATTAAACTATAGTTTAATATGATAAATAATTGAAGTTTTTTAAAAAAATCACTACTGAATATGTATGTTTTTTATTCTCAATAAATAAAGATGTACAAATATTTATAATTAATCACTCTTCAGAAGACTCCAAATCACAATTAATCACTACTTTTTAAATTTTAAATGAAATTCCAAACACAATACTAATTGATTTGAGCATAGTATATAAACATAGATCATGTAGTTGATGATGATTTATATATTTATTTATTATTATTATTATTATTATTATTATTGTTGTAATTACGAAAGAGTGATAGATATAAAAAAATTAAAACTAAAAGAAAGATTAACTGACAATATTTGAAGAAAAAAAAATTTATGTATATATAATCCTTAAATAAATGTAGTTGTAAGTTGTTTATGCAATGATTGGAATGTAATTTGGTGAAGACTAAATTGAGAATGTGAATTATGGAATAGGTACTTGATAAACACCATAACCAAGGGTATGAATTTTGTACATGCATAACTGGCAAAATGTACAGATTGATGAGAGTGGGGGAGGGAGGTGTGTTGCCATTGTAGTCACAATCCACGTGCTTCCATCCATATCTCCACATGCCCATGCAGCACACCATGTGTTCCATTGCAGCCCATAACTTCCATCCTCACTATTTTTCTTTTCCTACTTTCTTTTAAATGCTACAGTTTTTTTTTTTTTTTTAAAACTCATTTTTTATGCTAACAGGTCTACAATAATTCACTCTGCTTTTTCCCTTTTCTTCATGTCTCTGGACAATGGTGTGCGATTTTAAATGGGCCATTAGTTTGGGTGGTTATACACAACACTGGGACTGCGTCAAATTTATCCTAGTATGGACCTAACCAATAGGTGGATTTAATTGTTAAGCCAATTATTCATGAGGTGGGTTGGGCCTAACCTAACTTATTTATTTCTACAAAATAGTTTTCATTCAATTCTTACGTGATTATAATATTTTAAATACAAAAAATATAAAATAAATTTTTACCCAAAAGTGTATAATAGCACACTTATTAATATATATATATTTTTATTGTTCGCACACACGAATATATGTTCATTTCGTTTATAAAATTAACTAAAACCCAAAAAAATAACTCACCAGAAATAATTTCGTTGAAAATATTGCACAGACTCTTAGAAAAGAGCCCAATAATAAGTAACTCTAGCCCAACACAATTACAAAATGGACTAGTGTTCGCACCGTTTTTTTTTTTTTTTTCACCATCGTTCGACTTGCATTCCTTTTCTTATTTCAATTGTGATTCTGTTGAGTCAATATGCAAACGAATTCGTGATTCGATTGTCCATTTTTCTTTTTTACATAAAAAAATATTAAAATATGTGTTGTATACAGAACATATTTTTAAAATATTGTCCATTTTTTTTATATAAAAAAATTTATTGTATAATTTTATTACAGAACATATTTTTGAAACAAAAGGTTGTGAACGAACTTAGAAGAATAAAAATGGAGGTGAGAATAGCATCATTACTAACAACAAAACATGTCCTCCTTTCTCTGTCATTTTAATATATTCAATTTTTTTTAGGTTGATTTTTTATATAAAAGACTCTTCAAATTTTCAAAAACTCATTAAATTAGTTAATTTTCTTTATATTTATTTTGTTCAACTTCTTCATCTAAGGAAAATAAAAAGGTAGAAAATACGTTTTCGTTTTCTTCTTCAGTGATATTATGATTTCTGATGTAAGCAATATTTGGAGTACTTGTAAATGGATCACATAGAAAAGTTAATAAAATATTGAAACAACTTTAACAAAAGTTTTCCTTTTTTATGATCTTTTTCAAAGTCTCAACTGTTCAATTTCATCTATCTTCTTCCTTAAACATACAAAAGTGCAAGAGGGCATTCCTTGTAAAATATAAGAACTGTGTGATTGTTTTCTACAACACAACACCAACACTTTATTTATTTATTTATTTATTTTTCTATTTATTAAAGGTATTTAGGAATCGTAAATCTGATGAGTGTTATCATGTTTAATGAATGACTTTTTTTATAGGCACTTTTAATAAAAATTATATAATAATTAAGAATATATAAAAAAAATATACTTTAGATAATATTTTCTCACTTTTTATTTTTGTGGGTATAAAACGAAGGGGACCAAAAACAACACGTTATGTTATAAATGTATAAATGCGAAATACCTTTTAAAAGAAAAGTAATTCCACACGTTTGTACCATACATTTTCCACAGAAGAAAAACAAAAGTATGATTTTATATTTGGTATAACTAACTAATATTCCTTTTTTTACTCAATTTTAAAATCTCAGAATTATAGAAAAATTAAAATACGCAGACCTAATTTCTCTTATCGTGATTACTTTAAAAAATCGTCGAGAAATTGAGGTAGACCTAGATAGTAGAATGCTGGATGGTTTAGAAGATTTAAAATTTCAAATCAATGAAAGAGACGGCATAATAATAATAATAAATAAAAATAAATAATAATAATAATAATTATTATTATTATTATTAAAAGAAAAACATTAGATTTTAAGGAGCACTTTAAATTGGTAGGATGTGAAAATTATTTTATTATTATCTTGTACGGTGGAAATATAAAAATTTTAATACAATATATCTTGTATTCCAGGTCAAGCAATACAATTACTTTTAGTACTATTGATTTTAATTGATTTATAGTTTTACTTTCTTCTTAATTTATCTTTTATTAGTTTTATTACCATAAAATATTAAGTATATCCCATGAGTCAATTTGATTAAACATATTTGTGTATCTTTAAGAGGGAAAATAATTTATCTTGAAAGATAATAAACAGAGGATTAATATAAAATGATAAAACAATATGAAATTTTAATGCAAAATTCAATCTAAAAAGTGTTCTTATATAAATTTTATAGTTTTTATTTATTCATTTATTTATTTTATTTTCTCCTTAATTTTTTTAATTTCATAATTAATATGTAATTCCAATTAAAGAAACAACAAGTTTTTCGCCACTATGAAATTCATAAAATATTAAATATATTTTAAAACAAACTATTATTTCCTATTCTCTAAAATTTAAATATGTTTTTTTAATCCATCCTTCGAACATATGTTTTTTCTCGTTACTAATAATAGTGATAAACGAAAAACTTATATGAAACATTTTATCAGTTTCACATATATCTAAAATTAATTTTAATTGTAAAGTTGAAGTGTTTAAATTTTAAACCAACAAAAATTACTATTTGAAATTTACAATAATGCGACACACATTTTATCTTTCAATTATTTTTAATTAATATTAAATATGATAATTACAAAGTCAAATATACAGGATATCATTGCTTGACAACCACCGTGTTTGATGTTAAAACTTATACTCAGAATATATTTGTTTATAACTTAATTTTTATGTATTTATTTGGTCATAATAACAGATTACTTAGTCTCACATTCCTTCACCTTCACTGCATAGAGTCAAACAACACCACTTCATCTAGATAATTAAATAATATCCGAAATTTATTCAAGAATTAGTTCAAATTAATATGAATGGATTTTTTTTTTTGAAAAACCCTCTTAATTAAGAATTTAACTATACTATAAAACTGAAATATTTTACAAATTTATTATTAGTTATAAGATTGTAATATGTTAAAATTGATAAAATAGACTTGTAGTTAATTAGAAGTAGCAAAGAAGCACAACACAATGAGTGAGTGGAGTATTATAGAAGAATAAAAACGATGGATGTTAGGGTTACTGTGGGAGGAACATGTTCGATTTCAAGGTTATACAGAATAAAAAGAAAAGCAGAAAGACTTGTAAATTAAAAATAAAAATAAAAAAATAAAAAAAACGACATTATTCGTTTTTTTGGGTTACGCCTTTGCTCCCTGTTGCTGCTCAACCCTGCCTTTCTTTCTCTCACTTCGTCTTTCTCTCTCTAAAATCTCAGCGCTCGAATTGTGCCTTTTTGACAAACTTCTGCACTTTGATTCCAGGTTCGTCAGCTCCTCATCCATCCACGCCATCGCTTTTTCCTTTTCCCTCACTTCAATATTTAGCTGAGCTTCCTTTTTATTGTTTATTGTGCCATTTCTTGGATTTTGATTAATGAGTTCTCTTTTGGGTGGCTTCTGGGAATTACTGCCCAGGATCTTCGTGTTTTTTGCTGTTGATTGTTTTGAGGAATATTCTATTTCTGAGGTTCATGCAATTGGAGCTTATCCAGCTGGTTTCCTACCTCCTTGAGCTTATTTTCTAAGTTCGAGCTTGTTTCAATTAGTTTTATTTGTTTTAAATCTTTGTTTAGTTTTTTTTTTCTATGGTGATTGGGTTTTTTGGCTTGGGTTTGGGTTCTGTTCTCAATAATTTTTAGGAGGAGTTTACATTGGAGAAGGTAGTGTTTCATTAGGTTAATCGATATCGTTTCGGAGGAAGGGGGTGAGTTTGTTTTCTTGGGTTCTCAATTGGGTTTATCAGTTATTGTGATTTTGAATTTGTTCTGTGAGCTCTAGCCTTCCTTGACAAAGTGCCTTGATTATGAATATGGCTGTATTTTGTAGGACTGTTTAGATGTAGTTGCAAATGGATACTTTTACTTAGTTATTTATTTATTTTGGGAATGATTTACTGTCTTGTAATGCAATGTGGGGTTTAAGGGCTGATTTTGATTTTGTTTGTGTGATTCTTACTCAGTTGGCGTTCTAAGAAGAGCGTTAGTGAAATATTTCTTAATCAGGGAATGACTGGGATTGTGAGTGAGGAGTCTGGAGTGGGAAAGCATGTGGAGGGGATTTCAAATGGGCAGCGTTGTCAATCCGGGGAAGCATTGGCAGAATGGCGGTCTTCTGAGCAGGTGGAGAATGGAATCACATCTACATCTCCCCCTTACTGGGACACTGATGATGAAGATGATGGTAGCAATTTCTTTTTCCAATTTTAAATTTCTACGTTTTTTTTTTTTTTGAAATTTACATTGTTATATTGCATGTTTGTGTTTGTTTTTCTGTCTGAGCTCATGGATAGTTTTAGTGTCTGTTCTTAAAAAGCATAATTGTTTAAATCTTAGACTACACAGATGTCATTTTAATGTATATGTCCTTTACTTATCTTAATAGTTAAAAAAACACTATTTGCCTAAAGAATTGCTTAAAGTCATATTTGTTTTTCTCTTTTATAGGACCAAAACCTTCAGAGTTATTTGGAAGATATACATGGAAGATAGAAAAGTTTTCTCAAATTACCAAAAGGGAACTTCGCAGTAGTCCATTTGAGGTTGGCGGCTACAAATGGTATGAGATGTTACATATCATTGGACTTACTTAACTTTTGTTGTGATTTAGAACTTAACTATCATGAGGGCGAGCCCTGGTGCAGCAGTAAAGTTGTGCCTTGTTGACCAGTTGGTCATGGGTTCAAATCCAGAAACAGCCTCTTTGCATATGCAAGGGTAAGGCTGCATACAATGACCCTTCCCCATATCTTCACATAGCAAGTATCCTTTTTAGTATCAGATTAAGCCAAAGATGTAGAACTTAACTATGCATGCTGTTTTGCTTTATTTTGATTTACAACTCTAAAGCTATTTGCATGCAGGGGCTTCTTGTTATGCATTTATCATCTTGAGTCAATTATGACCTTTTTTAAGTTGAATTTTGAAGAAACAACTGATGTATCTTTACTGGTTTAGTTTATCTCTAACACATCCGATTCTCTCTCTCGTCTGTGCACTTGCGCATACACATACACACACGCATGCATACATACATACATACATACATACATACATACATACATATATATATATATATATATATATATATAATGAAGGAATTTATTTAGTCATGGAGAAGTATGGGAGGATTTTGGAGAAATAAAATCAGCCTAGTAAAAGAGATATCATCAATGTTGAGCAAAGTTTCTCACTGCATTTTTGTTAGGAAACCTTTTTACAAACATAATATGCTTTGAAGCCAGTTTCCTAACATATCTGCCTGCTGAGCCAGCAAGATATCCTTTAAAATGAGTGTTATGATCCTACCAAATAGTGATAGGTTGTACATTGCCGTAGGAAAAGAAGTTGACCTCTTTACTACCAAAATCCTCTTGATTGTAACCAAATATTTGACCAAAGACTTTTTGTAAACCAGGATTCTGCAAAAAAGGTTTGAACAAAAAATAAACAGGTAACTGTCAGTCATGAATGGCAGGGTACTGAGCATGGCAAAACACATGTCAGGGGAAGGAGCTTTATGTGACATGTGAATCTGCAGTATTGATTCTATTTAAGCTCTGATGTCCATGCAAATAACTTTACCTTTGATGGGACTTTGGACTTCCTTAGAGCTTTATCAAAAGTGGAGGAGCTTTATGTGACCTTTGAACCTGCAATATTAGTTCTATTGAAGTCCTGTTGTCAAAGTAAATAACTTTACCTTACAGGGGTGTTGGGCTTCCTAAGAGGTTTATCGAAATGGCAAGTAGATTAATTCTATAAACCAGTCAGAAATTGGAAAAAGGACTTGCACAAAAATCCACTAGAAGGGTCAAGAGGTCCTACCGATAATCTGCTATTTTGAGATATGTATAGAGAATTTATGAGCCTTTCATATACTAATTTGTGTCATACAAGACAAAGATACCTTCTTTATTCCATTTGCAACAGGTGTGCCCTATGTAGGGACTGTATAGTTTTCATGGAAATTGTGCCCTTAATTTAGTGTTGGTATGTGCAGTCTAATAAATACATCTTATTTGCCGAGATAGTTTATAACTTCATATGACATGATGATTAGGAGTGTTAATCTTTGACTTAATAATTGTTTTGTCTGTTACAGGTATATTTTAATCTATCCTCAAGGCTGTGATGTTTGCAATCATCTCTCACTCTTTCTGTGTGTAGCTAATCATGACAAACTTCTTCCAGGTTCAATTCATCATCTTTTTTAGATTGCATTAATGATTATTACTTTTATTTTGTGCAGATAGTTCTATTGTATTTGATTGCTTATTTTTTGTTTGTGGGGCAATACAGGATGGAGTCATTTTGCTCAATTTACAATAGCTGTGGTCAATAAAGACCCAAAGAAATCAAAATATTCTGGTCCGTTACCTAATAGTTGGGTTAATTACTGGAGATTAAATTTTTTCTATAAATGTTATTGAGATATATGCCCTTGAGTTTTCCAGATACGCTGCATCGATTTTGGAAGAAGGAGCATGACTGGGGATGGAAAAAGTTCATGGAACTGTCTAAGGTTTATGATGGATTTGTTGATACTTCAGACAATCTGATAATAAAAGCTCAAGTTCAAGTCATAAGGTATTCTATACTTAAATATTTTTTAACTAACCATTGAGCAACTGTACAAAATCCAGTGACTATGTTTTATTTGTTGGTTGCCTAGTTGGACTGTTATCTTCTCTTTTATTTTTTTAAATACACCAACTTTTTTCTGCAAATTTTCCATTTATTGGATTTGTGTGGCTGTCAAATGAGGTAACTTGTTAATTTATTTGCATTCTTCCTTGGAATTATATATCTTGAAGTGTGACCATATATTCCTTTTGTTTGTTTTTGATGCATAGGGAGAAATCAGACAGACCTTTCCGATGCCTTGATTGTCAATATAGGAGAGAACTTGTTAGGGTATATTTGACAAATGTTGAACAAATTTGTCGGCGTTTTGTGGAGGAGAGAAGAAGCAAACTTGGGAAGTTGATAGAGGATAAAGCCAGGTGGTCAAGGTATTTGTGCTCTCCTTTAAAAATCTACCTCTTCTAACACAGACATATGCAATCTATTGTCATATATTATATGTTGGAAGTATTATCTTGCTCCAAAGTGTTACTGGAACAGTAATATAATCGAAGCAAAGAACGAAGGAAATGGATCTCAATTAATACGAATAAGTGCCTATTACAACCACACTATAAAAGAGAAATACTACAAAAATCTGTTATGGAATTCTAATATTGGGATTCAAGACACACTCTACTTCCTGATCGGATAAATCACACCTGCAGAGAAAGTGACGTGGGGTCAGAGAGAGGAAAGAGAATTGAGGAATTTTAGGAAGAGAGAGAAAATAACAGAAAGATACTTGCCACATTCCTCCCTCCACAAGTTAACGCACAAATCCTTTTAAAAGGGAATTTTCCTTGCGAATTCCCTGCTCTCCACCTTCTGCGAATCAAGCTCCGCATGTCCTTCATTCCTAACAACCTTTCCTGCGCTCTCATCATACTTAAGCTCACGTGTTACATTACCCTTTCCTTTGAAAGCAACCTTGTCCTCAAGGTTGAGGGATGGATAAGATTGTTGCAGCAACACAACATCTTCCCAAGTTGCCAATTCAGGCTTGGTTGACTCCCACTGAACCAACACCTAAGGGATTTGTACCGCACCACGAACCACTACTCTAGAGTCCAAAGTCTTCCCAAGTTGCAAGGCCGGTCCAAATTCGGAAGTAGTTAATGGCAAAGGCAAGTATTGATCAACTGGAGTTCCATGGAACTTCTTCAGCAAGGATATATGAAATACTGGATGAATTCGAGCAGTGTCAGGCAATTGCAGCTTGTAAGCAACATCACCAATCTTCTGAATGATCTTAAAAGGGCCAAAAAAACGCAACCCCAGTTTATGATTCTTCCTCAAAACCACATAATGTTAACGATATGGTTGTAACTTAACCAACACCAAATCTCCCACCTCGAAATATACCTCCTTCCTCTTCTTGTCAGCCCATCCTTTCATGGAATGCTGAGCCTTCTCCAGATTGAATTTAAGCTCATGGATCAGTTGATCATGAGCAATTAAAGTGTCTTGAAGAGATACGGGATCCTTCAAATCTTTAACATAAGGAATAATGGTTGGAGATCTCTCCCAAATACAGCCTTAAAGGGAGTCATACGAATACTATGATGATAAGCTGAATTATACCAAAATTGTGCCCAGGGAAGCATAGAGTGCCAAGACTTAGGATTGTCATACACAAAACATCTTAAGTACATTTCCAAAGTCTTATTTAAGACCTTGGTTTGACCATCGGATTGAGGATGATATGTAGAAGTCATAGCAAGAGTTGTACCTTGGGTCTTGAAGAGTTGTTGCCAGAATGCACTAATGAAGACTCTATCCCTATTTGTCACCACTGTCTTAGGGAAACCATGGATCTTGACCACCTGTTGGATGAAAGCATCAATAGCAGTCCTACTAGTAAAATATGATTTGAGAGGAATGAAGTAACTGAACTTAGACAATCGGTCCACCACAACCATGATTGTAGAAAAGCCATTGGAGCTAGGTAATTGAGTTATGAAATCTTTGGAAAATTAGATTAACTGAAATATGATTTTTTTTTTTATATCAATACAAAGAGATGATATAAGATATATACAGGAGACCTAAGCTATTTTAGGAAATATAATAACTTTATTTTATGCTAGGATCCCTTGATATATGTGATTGTTCCTAATTATTCAAATCTGTACAGATTACAAGGAAATATACAAATTTCCTGATTTATTCTTTCCTAAAATACTATTTGATTTCTCACACTCCCCCTCAAGCTGGTGAATAGATGTTTTCCATTCCCAGCTTGGATACAATCTTCTCAAAATTATGGCAGCCCAGTCCCTTGGTAAGAATGTCTGCAATTTGGTCTTGAGAGGACACATATGGAGTGCATATCAAGCCACTTATCAAGCTTTTCTTTGATGAAGTGTCTGTCTACTTCAATATGCTTTGTTCTATCATGCTTGCACTTGGGTTGTGGGCTATACTCGATTGCTGACTTATTATCACAATAGAGCTTCATAGGTTCTTCCCACTTTATCCTCAAGTCTTCTAAGATGATTTTAAGCCATAGCAACTCACATATACCTTGTGCCATGGCTCGAATTCCGCTTCAGACCTTGGATCGAGCCACTACACCCTGCTTTTGCTTCTCCAAGTCACAAGATTTCCTCCAAGAAAGGTGCAATATCCTATAGTTGACCTCCTATCCACAATTGACCCTGCATAATCAACATCGAGTATAGGCTTCAAGCTTCACATTACCATTCCTTTTGAATAGAATCCCTCTTCCTGGAGTTCCTTTAAGGTACTATAAAATTCTGTGGGCAGCTTGTAAATGGGTCTCCTTTGGGCTATGCATAAATTGGCTAATTAAACTCACCGCATAGGCAATATCCGGCCTGGTATGTGACAAATATATAAGTCTCGCCCACTAATTTTTGGTACATATCTTTTTCAACAAGCAACATCTTCTTCTGCATTTCCAAGCTTTAGGTTTGGTTCTAATGGGGTACTAGCGGGTTTGCAAGTCTGCCTTGCCGGTTTCCTTGAGCAAATCGGTGATGTATTTCTGTCGAGATATAAATATCCCTTTCTCGGAGTGGGCAACTTCAATTCCCAAAAAATATTTTAGTTTTCCCAAGGTCTTGATCTCAAATTCCTTGCCTAAGCATTGGCTCAATAATTGCTGCTCTTCTTTATTATCTCCAGTTAATATTATGTCATCCACATACACCAATAATATTGTTACTCCCCCTGTCTTGGAATGTTTAAAAAACAAAGTATGGTCCCCTTGACTTTGTTTGTAACCCAGACCTATTATAACTTTAGTAAACCTGCCAAACCATGCACGGGGGGACTGTTTTAACCCATATAATGCCTTTTTCAACTTGCAAACAGTGTTGACAGCAACATCTTTACCATATCCCGGAGGTATCTCCATATAGATTTCTTCTTCAAGGTCTCCATGTAGGAAAACATTCTTAACATCAAATTGTTCCAAGTTCCAACCATAATTGGCAGCAAGGGACAATATCACCCTAACTGTGTTCATTTTGGCAACTGGAGCAAAGGTCTCCAAATAATCAACTCCATAGGTTTGGGTGAACCCTTTGGCAACTAGTCTTGCTTTATATCTCTCAATTGATCCATCAACCTTGTATTTCACTGTATAGACCCATTTACATCCAACTGGCCTCTTTCCTATTGGTAAGGTGACTAACTCCCAGGTGTTGTTCTTCTCCAATGCCTCCATCTCTACATCCATGGCTTGCCTCCATTTTCTGTCAGACAATGCCTCAGATAGGGTATTAGGTAGAAGTACAGTGTTTAGGTTTACTAGGAAGGTTTTATGGGTAGGAGAGAAATTTTTAAAGGACAGGTAATTTGAGAGAGGGTAGAGTGACTGTTTGGTGCATTTTCTTGTTCCTTTTCTAATGGTAATTGGGAGGTCAGGATCATTTTGGGTTTCAATTTCAACCTGCACAGCTGGAGAAAAAATTGTTACCTCTTTTTGTGGAGTCGAGTTGGATTCTTGAACATGGCTTGATCCTGGAATGACCTTAGTCTTTCTTGAGTACACCAGCTTCTTACCAAATTTTCCAGCTTCAACATCTTCTTGATCAGCTTCAACATCTTCTTGATCAGCTTCACAATTAATTTCACTTTCTTGACCAACTTCCTTTTCTTGACCAATTCCTTGACTTGTTTCATTTGTTACAACTTCAATTTGATCTCGTTTAGGTTCAAATATCAAGTCTGGAAGAATGGGAAAACCAGAATTACTACTTTCAATATGATTTCGTTTAGGTTCAAATGTCAAGTTTGGAAGAATGGGAAAACCAGAATTACTATTTTCCTTATCTTCCCTGAAACTCTCCCCCTGAAGATAAGGTTGATGGAAATAACCCCCTTGTTCATTGAAGGTAACATCCCTAGACACACAAAATTTTTTGGATGGGAGGTGGTAGCATTTATACCCTTTTTGAGTGGGTGAGTAACCAACAAAGACACATTTTAAGGCTCTAGGATCAAGTTTCCCCATGTCTGTACTATGAATATGGACATATGAGCTGCACGCAAAAACTCTTGGTTTAAGATTATTTGTAGTAGACAAGTTTGGATAGAAAGACGACAAAACTTCCATAGGGCTTTTTGATCATAAGACTCTAGAGGGTAGTTTATTGATAAGGTATGTTGATGTAAGGACAACTTCCCCCCAGAAATTTTTTGGGACACTTTTTTGGAACAACAATGCCCGAGTCTGATTTAATAGATGTCCATTTTTCCTCTCTGCGACCCCATTCTGTTGTGGTGTTTTGACACAAGAGGACTCATGAATAATACCTTCTTTTGACAAAAAGAATTAATGACATGATTGAAGTAATCTTTGGCATTATCTGACCTAAGCCTCTTAATATTAACACCTAACTGATTTTTTATCATGGAGTGGAAGTTTAGGAAGACAGAACTGACTTCTGATTTTTGTTTAAGTAGGAAAACCCAAGTGACCCTTGTACAGTCATCTATAAAGGTGACAAACCATCGAGTACCAGACACATTTGAAATATTAGAAGGTCCCCATACATCAGTATGAACAAGATAAAAAGGGAAATTGCTAATTTTATTACTTATTGGAAAATATATACGCTTGTGCTTAGCAAGTTCACACACCTCACAATGAAGACTCTCAACATCTAACTTGGTAACCAGAGAGGGAAATATAATTTTGATCACTCCAAAAGAGGGATGTCCCAACCGACAATGATAAAGCATGATTTTTTCTCTGTTGGTCATCAAGGATTCAGATATGAAGGAGTGAGAGATTCTATTCTTGCTGGGCAAACTTGGATCTTCGAGATAATAAAGGCCATTCCATTCTCTAGCATGTCCAATCATCCTCCCCGAATCCTTATCCTGAAATACACAATGATCGTTGTAAAAAACAACTTTACATGACAAATCCTTTATAAGTTTTTGTATAGACACTAGGTTCGTGGATAACTTTGGGACATGGAGAACATCTTTTAAGGTTATTAAAAGATTGATTTGTATATTTCCTTGACCAGCTGCAGTTATAAGGGTTCCATCTGCTGTGGCAATTTTCTTGTTGCTGGGACATGGGGAATATGTGGAGAAGTGTTTGGCTAATGGTGTCATGTGATCTGTGGCTCCAGAGTCCAATATCCAATAATGGTTAAAAGGCGTATTTGAGACATTTAATCCAAAAGAAGGTGGAAACTTACCTGAGTATGCCAAATAACACATACCTGTAGGTTTTTTCAGCTTACTAAGAACGGTTTTCACCCTTTCTATCTCCTCTTCCCTTGACATTATAGCAAAAAGGTGCGATGCAACAACAATGCAGACTGTCGTCTTAGGAACAAGAAAAATGCAGCAGCAATGCAGGCTGTCGTCTTAGGATTAAGAAAAATGCAGCAGCAATGTAGGTTGCTGTCTTAGGGTTAAGAAAAATGCAACAACAATGTAGGCTGTCATTTTAGGGTTAAGAAATATGCAGCAGCAATGTAGGCTGCCGTCTTAGGGTTAAGAAATATGCAGCAGCAATGCAGGCTGCCGTCTTAGGGTTTATCGCGCGCAGACAGAGCTTCCTAGATCGGAAGCTCTGATACCATCTAGAAAATTAGATTAACTGAAATATGATTTTTTTTATATCAATACAAAGAGATGATATAAGATATATACAGGAGACCTAAGCTATTTTAGGAAATATAATAACTCTATTTTATGCTAGGATCCCTTGATATATGAGATTGTTCTTAATTATTCAAATCTGTACAGATTACAAGGAAATATACAAATTTCCTGATTTATTCTTTCCGAAAATACTATTTGATTTCTCACAAAATCCATACTAATATGCTCCCAAATCTGTTGAGGAATAGGAAGAGGGTGTAACAACCCTGAAGGAAGTGTTTGATCAACCTTAGCTTGTTGACAAACACTACAGTGTCTGACAAATTCTCTGATATCTTCTTGCAGCTTCGGCCAAAAGAATTGTTGACTCACCCTAGCCAGTGTTTGATCAACCTTAGCTTGTTGACAAACACTACAGTGTCTGACAAATTCTCTGATATCTTCTTGCAGCTTCGGCCAAAAGAATTGTTGAGTCACCCTAGCCATAGTTCTAGTTATTCCAACATGTCCACCTATCTTTGTACCATGAAACTCATGTAAGATGGCATGTTTGAGAGACAAGTCATCCGGAATCACCAATCTACCTTTCCAAAATAACAAGCCATCTTGAACAGTATAATCCATGTCATTGATTTCCTTAGTTAAATGTTTCTGATACATAGAGCTCAACCATTCATCTTTCCAATACTTTAGTTAACCACACACCTAGAGGTTCAGACTAACCTTTAGGGAAAGAAAAACCTTTCCCGCGCTCTCATCATACTTCAGCTCACGTGTTACAGTCACCTAAAGAAAGTGTGGATCATGAAATTACTTTTTCACACCTCCAGATCAGTAGCAATATGTTAGTACTTGAACTGAAAAATTTGAACTAATTCCCCTCAAATCTGGAAAGGAGCAAAAATGTTAGCCCTATTGCAAAATAGATACAGAAGCGGAATCGATCTTATGGTCAAATCTAATAGGTGATCATGGTTTTGATGTATTATAGCTGACTTCAGGTGGTCTGCCTATTTCATGTGTATCTTGAAATGTATGTTGCATTGCATACTATTTGAAATTAAATATGATTTGATATTTTCTTTTCATTAGAATGTGTTCTGTTTTCCTATTTGATATAATGCATTATCATTAATTGCTACTTATTTCAAACCTTTAAGTTCTGGTGTCTTATTTTATTGGCTGATCAAATGTTAATATGCATGCAGCTTCTTTACTTTCTGGCGGGAAATTGACCAAACTTCTAAGCGCCGCATGTCTAGGGAGAAGACAGATGTAATTTTGAAAGTAGTTGTAAAGCACTTCTTTATTGAGAAAGAAGTCACTTCTACTTTGGTAATGGATTCCTTGCATAGTGGATTGAAGGCTCTTGAAGGCCAGACTAAGAACCAAAAAGCTAAGATGAAATTGTTGGATGCTGAAGAAGTACCAGCACCAATTGTTCATGTCGAGAAAGATATGTTTGTACTGGTGGATGATGTTTTGCTGCTTCTTGAAAGAGCTGCAATAGAACCACTACCTCCTAAAGATGAGAAGTGTCCTCAAAATCGTACAAAGGTATGATGTAGAATTATGTGATAATAACTATGGAATTTTGTGTTGACACCTGACCTGATAACCATTGATATGGTTGAGCACTGATCTCTATGAAATGTGGTGGTATTAGGGTGATTTTTTTTAGAGGATGAAGTTGACAAATGAGAACAGAACAGAGTATGTTTAAATGGGGTCAAAACCTGGGGGAAAAGAAAATTGAACCTCTGCTGTTGTATTCTGAATAAATTATATTTAAGATTGATTTTCACTCAATTGCTACTGCATTAGCTGGTCATCTGAACTAATAACTTAAAAGAGTTCTTCGGTTTATGTTTTTATGCTTTGGTTGTTTTTGCTTCTGTTTCTTATTTCTTCTGACTTTTATTCTGTCGTTTCAGAATGATTACACATGTGTTTTGAATTGCTTTGAAGATTCATAAATTGAAGAATAACAATTTTGCAATAATTTTCTTAGAAACAATGTCTCACATTGTAAAAATATATATTTTTTTTGGATTTTTTTTGTTTGCATTTTGTTACAGGATGTCACTGTTTCAAATCATATAAATTGGTAATTAGGTATTAAATTACTTTAATTTAAAATTTTAACAGGATCTAATAATAAGGAACTGCTTGTTTAAACTTAAAACATGATTTTATTACAATAATTTTATATAGAGTTTTGTTTTTAGAAGCTAATATTTTTAGCTTGTGAACAAACTAGATTATAACTTCGTTTTTGGCTTTTACTTTTGCCACCCAAAAAAGGATTATCATTTAAAAAAAAATAAAATTTAATTAAAAAAGTTTTATTTTTCCTTTCGAAAGAACACAAATAGACCCAAATGATAATAAGATAATTTTGTTCATCTTCAAAACTAATATGGATGTTTACGTTGTTTCCAGAACCCATTTTTTCCACATGGGGAGCTATGCTACTATGAGTCAAACCCAGAGAATGTTTTTGTACCAGTGAAAACACAGTTTCAACCTGAAAAGAAATATCTAAAATTTAATTTTTAGAAAATTGATTTTAGTATCAGAAACTTATATTCTTGCTTTTTATTCTTGTTGGATCGACTAGATATATGATCAAATTATGGTATATAATTAGGGTACAAACTTTGCCTTAATAGGCATGTTTATAGAGTTGAATTAGGTTCAAATCTACTTTCTATTATGGTATTACAACCTATTCTAGCGAGATTTGTTTGTCTTAATGTGCCACTTGCTATCGGACCATTCAATCCACATCCTTGAGATGTTCAGTTCTGCGTGAGGGAGTGTTTTGGAGATTCTAGATTGACTAGAGATATGATCAAATTATATTATATAGTAGATGCAACCCTCATCTTGCAATCTGGTTTTATAGGATTGTGTTAGGCCCAAATCCACTTTTTAATCATTCTAATAATTGAGGAGTTCCAGATAAGTAGTTCTTTGTTTATTCATAATTTTGTGCATGCTTGATATTGTTGATTTGATTTTACCATTTACTGCACTACTAACAGAAATACTTTTTAACCTTACCACTTGAATTTAGGTTGAGTTCTTGTTTTATTTGTGCCATATTTCTGTATATGTCTTCTCTTACTGGTATTTATGCAGTATATGCTTTAAAATTTAAGATATATAGTTTTAATAACAAACACGTTTGGCCTAGTTAAACTTCGGGCCATGTATTACACTTGTATAATATCCCCAATAACTTGGGGGATTATAAGTGCAGTGAATTATTAGATATGGTGCTTTTTACCTTTCCAGTTCAGGAATTTATTTGAAACCTTTTTCACTTATTTTTGCAGGAGGGAAATTCTGGAGAGGATTTCAACAAGGATTCTATAGAGCGTGATGAAAGGCGCTTAACAGAATTGGGTCGTAGGACTTTGGAAATATTTGTCCTTGCTCACATATTCAGGTAGCAAACACAATAATTTAGCCATTTGCATTCAAGTTTCTCTGCTTAATTGCTTGTGTATATACTCTTTACTTTTGTTTGTATTTCCTCCTTAATCAAGTTTTAGAGAGGCATGTATGATATTGACAGTCAGCCTATTGAATCGGGATGCAGTCCATTCCTATGTACTGTTATTAACAATGATTGACGGGGAGGGGGGTTGATATTCTATATGTAGCCATTGATGAATATCCTTGAAATGAAGGATCCAGGTTGAGGCTTTGCCTTTCAGGGTTAACATTTTTGAGTTTCATGAATTCTAAACAAAGCAACAACATAAGCATGATGTATAATGTATTTTGGCATACTTTTTTCAATAAAAGTGTGTTTGGTAAATGCATTCAAATGTGACCCAATTGGTCATTGGCTTCTAATCTATGAATAAGAATGAGTTTGGTTAACAAGCAAGAAATTAGACACAATAGGACATTGAGTTCTATCTTATGTTTTACGTGTTCTAAAATAGAGCAAAAATAGAACATCAACAGGTTAAAAGGAAGTACATCTTGGTTATAAGATTTTTAGTGGAGCCAATGAGAATAGAAGATAACCTTTTTGTTCCATCGTTTTTTGATTGCTCACCAGATTCTACCCAAAAAGTAATTAGCAATTTTCGTTCCATAGATGATAGCTCAGCGCTGAACAATTGCATAAACTGAGTGCTTATCTACTTCCACGCCTTGGCCAAAGTTCTACAATTATGTACAAAATAGGATGCAGCTGATTATGCTGCACAATACAGACTTAGTTTTGAGTTGCTTCAAGTTCAACCTGTTTTGAAACATTAGCTTATTCAGAAGTTGTGATTCCCTTGTTTCAATGAGCTTGGAGTTCCTCTACTTTGTGATATTGCCCATGGAGAATAGAATTATTGAAAATATAGAAAAATTGAAAACTTCCTAATGGTAGGGCCCATATATGTAACCTACCTAGAAGTTAAAGAGAGGGATAATTTTTGTTTTATATGTAGGTATTAGAAATGCATCAATTTAAGTATCCTAATTATTTTGTTTCATGGGTGCAGTAATAAAATTGAGGTTGCCTACCAGGAAGCTGTTGCTCTCAAAAGACAAGAAGAACTCATCCGTGAAGAAGAGGCTGCATGGCAAGCTGAAAGTGATCAGAAAGCAAAACGTGGGAGCGAGAGGGAAAAGAAGTCAAAGAAAAAACAGGTCTTTGAACACATTGAAACTGCATTTTCAATGGATTATTAGATAACTGAATGTTGATTTTACGGTTGCAATGCATTTTCTAGCTCTACTCTTGTTAGCGAATTAGGTTCCTATTTGATTATCTGTAATATTGTGGTTTAGAAGTCAACTAAGAGGCAAGACTAAATCACTCTTATGAATTTCACTACAGAAGATAATTAAACTACAAAAAATGCACTGTAAATAATCTTAGTAAATGTCACCAATTTACTTTTTCTTTTATCATGGTACTGATGAAGTCATCTCTAACTCCTGATATGTCATTTCCACTGTTGCACGTGATTTTGTATGCTAAACTCCAGGTTGAAATAATGTAGAATTTCACAAACTTGGATTCTTTATGTCTAATAAATATCATGTTTGGATTCACTTAAATTTGAGGGAAATGATTTGATTATATGCTATTTTGAATTGGAAGGCATGGTATGTTCATCATCTACTCACAGATGTCTCGTGTAATTTGCCTATCTTTATATGAGGTGCACGTTGAAGACCATTGCTTCTTTACAAACCTAGCCTTCTATAAATTGCTTTAGGTGGATATCTGATGCAACACAATTAATACAGCAACGTAATAATGTACCAAAAAGTACAAGCAGAAAAAAGGAAATTAGTTTGGAAATCAACTTAGAATGTAGGTTTAGGTCTAACCTACAACTCCATAAAACCAGCTTGTAAGATAAATGTTGCCTCTCACTTTTATATTGTATTTTGACATTCTTTCTAGTCAATGATATACTTAGTTTTTTCCAATACACTCTTTCTCGTCCAACACTAGTGGGCTTGATACAATGATAATGTGGTGGATGACCCTTTTAGTGGATTTCGGATATGTTTAATATCTTTGTAGGAATTTGGGTTGCGCCTAACTCAACCCCACAAAACCTGTTTGTGAAGTGAGGATTATCTTCTGCTTACTAGTTAAAATGTTCAAGCTTTTGTCAACTAACAAACTTACTGGTTAATTTAGTGAGTCTCTGGCTAACCCATTCAGCACCCGTTTGAATATTTTTAATCAGTAACCACCCTTTGAGCTAAATTTTCCTTTATTTGATGTAATTTTGCTAGGAACTTTTAAACTGTAATGCTCTCAGGATTTTCTCTTGACATCTACTTGCTATTTTTGGGATTAAATGATGTCATGTGCATTAGGTAAGAAGTGTTGTTGGTTGATTTTCTTTATAATTGTTGACAGATAATCCTCTCTTTTCACTACAGGCCAAACAAAAACGTAACAACCGGAAAGGAAAGGATAAAGGGAGGGAGGACAGGTCTACTGTCTCTGTACCTGACAAGAACCAAGACAATGCTGTTGATAAGAAAAATGATTCTAACATGGAGGAAGCTATAGTTGTGTCTGACAAGCCTGATGCCATGGAATATGTCTCTGATGTGTCTGAATCTGTAGATGGTGTTGCTGAAACTCTTCAGCCTGATTCAGAAGACAGAGATGCTAGTACTGTTAATTGGGATACTGATGCATCAGAAGTTCATCCTCCAACTGAGGCTAGAAAAAATGGCATGGGTGGTGCTTCAACCATACAAAATGGAATGTCCGAGAAAAGGAGCAGTTCAGTGATAGATGATAGTTCTTCAACATGTTCTACTGATTCTTTGCCGTCAGTAGTCATGAATGACCCCCACAAGGGAAACACGTTTTCAAATTTTAAAGTCCAAAAGTTTCATAGCAGGTGCGTATATTTTTTCCTGTGTGTGAATGGATATCAGTGCTCATGTTATGATATGACACTTTATTTGTAGGGGTAAGAATCGAGGCAAAGCATCATCTTATGTGGGTAGTTGGACAAATGAAATAGATAGTCAGCCATCTGGTTCTGCAGCAGATGCTGGGGATACTAACAATGACGCTGGAAGTGGTAAGATTGGCAAATCTGAGTCTGAGGTTGTTGTCCTCTCCTTACAGGATCGGTTGAAGTGGGCTGAGCAGCATGTTATCAGAAAGGTTGTCATTTCCACCCCCTTGATGGAAATACTTATCCATTTATCATAATATTCCTTACCATTTTGTGTATTTTTTCCCCCAATTTTAGTATTGTGCCTTATCATCTAATATTCTTGGATATTTTTTTCAATTTTTTTTCACCATTTAAGGGACGCAAGAATAGATTGCTTGCTGAGAATATTTTCGAATTACGTATTACATAGGGGTCTTAAAAATGAAGGGATGAATGAACACCTTGCTTTCCCTTATTTATTTTCTGTCTGCAAATAGATGAAAGTAAATAGATGAAAGTAATTTGAGTTTGCAACTCTCAAAACAAATTGGTGATGTTTCTATATTCCTATCTTGTTTACAGATTAATCATGGGAAAAAAGATGTGTATCCATTTCATCTTGTTTCCACACCTGGTATGGAAGGATGACTTTATTTTTAAATTCTTCCAGTCTTCTGTCCTTCCATGAGGCTGCATAGATGTGAAAATTAAAGTGGATTCATAATCATATTTCTCTTTTTTCCTTCATTTCTTACACACTATCAAACCACTGAACCTACGTGAATGCTTTTCTCCATAATTTAGCTGGAACGAAGATGTCTACACCCTCTTTATTTTTTTATTTTTTTTTCTGTTTTTGATCTTGAAATTCTCTGTTTTCCGTTTATTGGTAAGAATTTGACCTTATTTCTGTTGAAGGTGGTGGGAGATCAGTTTTGGCGTGGCAATGGAATTTATTTTGATTTCATGTTTGCTTTTACAGTTTTCATTTCACTCTTTTTTATCTAAGCTCGTTTCTTCATTGAATATCTTTTTTACCTACCAATAAATTATTTCATACTCAATTTCACCTTAAGCCTCTATCTCTGGTTCAATTGGGGCTTGACGTGGTGGTTTTTCTTTTTTTAATGATAGGAGGACGAGGTGCTTTCACTGAAGAAACCGGGCATCAGAGACCTTGTTGAGGCAGAGAGACCTGTTGACAATGAAAGTCTGCAGAAAGAGAATATATCAGCTGTGCCATCCTCCTCGTCTAGTAGTCCTCCCAGAAACTTATCCTCCTCTGTTCAAATGAAGTTAGAACACAAGACTGTCATTACTGTGTATCCTGTCCATGTCAGGAAAACATCTTTAAGTGGCTCCCAACACATTGATAAAGATCCATCTTCATCTTTTCCTTCTGCATCACCAGTTCAAGCTGTATCTAAAGCTGAGATCCAAAAGATTTCAACTGCAAGATTAACTGAAAGATCTGTGGCACAAGGGCCTATGATTTCAAGACCATCAAGTGCTCCTTTAGTTCCTGGTCCCAGGCCAACTGCCCCTGTTGTCTCTATGGTTCAAACGGCTCCCCTACTTGCACGCTCAGTGAGTGCAACTGGCCGGTTGGGTCCTGACCCATTACCTGCTACCCATAGGCATGTCCCTCAATCCTACAGAAATGTGATCATGGGGAACCCAGTGGCCTCGACTGCAGCTAGTCTGACCCAGTCGAGCTCCTTAAGTTCAGGAGTAAACCCATTGCCTGGTTATTCTCAACCATCTTCCTTGGTGTCATCTGTACTTTTATCCCAGAGCTCTGACAGATTGGATAAAAGTGCTGGCCAGTCTGGTGTTCATTTTAGCATGACTCCACGGGATGTTTTACAGAATGGTCCCCAGTGGATTGAGAATTCTCAAAAGGAATCGAGCAGAAGCATGCTCTATGATCAACCCTCCAGGCCTGATGATACTCAAAATCGTGACTTGTACAGGCCAGTGCACAGTAGATCAACGGGCAACATGTCAACTGAGTTCCTAACCTGTGCATCTGGGCGTCAGAACCAAGGGTTAATGGTGGATGAATTCCCACACCTTGATATCATAAATGACCTGCTTGATGATGAACATGGTATTGGGAAGACGGGGAAATCAAGTTCAGCATTCCAGTCTCTGAATAATGGACCGCAGTTGCTAAATCGACAGTTCAGTTTTCCTGGGGACTTGGTTTCAAATGATGATCTGGGATCTTCAACCAGTTCTTGCAGGTTTGAGCGATCACGAAGTTACCATCATGATCATAGACTTCAAGGAGGTTATAACGTGTCGGGTGGGCATTATGATTCACTCAGGGATTATATTCCACCCATGAGTAGTGTGCCTTGCGTCAATGGTCATGTAGATGGGTTGATACCAAATCAATGGGAGGGGGCTGGTTCCGATGTGTTGTATCTGGGCATGAGAAACACAGAGAACGATACTTATGGATACTATCCAGATTACTCAAATATGACATGCGGTGTCAATGGTTATACTGTATTCAGACCATCAAGTGGTCCTTAAAAGGGAAACGATAAAGAGTGCCACGAATGAGTGGTCACTGATAGATGTAATGTATTTGAGGAAATTGTTGGGTCTTTTTAGATTGGAGTGAGGTTGTAATATCTCTTGATAAGAAAAACATTTGTAAAGAGTGTGAGTTATTTGATTCCAGCCTTTTTTTCTTCCAGTTCATGTCTTTGCCTGCCCGAGAGTTTGGATGAATCATAATGAGGTTTGAACACTTATGTCGTAATAACTTGAGCTTGCCATGCATCCCCTCATTTTTTAGTCGGGTGCTGTAGAATTTGAAAACAAGGTTGTAACCCTATGCTCATGAAAACAAGGTTGTAGAATTTGCAAAAGTTCGATAGTTGCCCTATACATTATTAAAAAAACAAGGGTTGTGTTTTGTTAATTTTATATCAGGTGGCAAGTTTAGCAATAGCTAACAGTGCAGAGGGTTTTGTGGGTAAAAAAATTAAGGTGGGTGTCTTAAGAAATAGGTGCTTACCATTGGAATACCTTTTGGGCAAGACAAATGTTAGTAATATGCTGTAATGCATTTTTAATATATATATATATATATATATATATATATATATATATATATATATATATATATATATATATACTTTTGGTATTATAGAAATTTATTTTGAGATCCATGAAATTAGTAGTGATAAGAGTGTTAAAAAATAATTGTAGTGTATCGTTAAAATTTGCCCTATGGGCAAATAGTCTCTTCGAAAGATATGCCAGAATTTTTAAAACGTGACCCCTCCTATGGTGGTTTTATGGTCAAGCTTACCTATCAACATGGTAAAAGTATTGATTCGATTGATTGAAGTATTAGATTACCAGGATAACGGTTGAACCTGTAAATCACTCTAATAGACGAGCATGTGAATTATTGATGATGTCATGTTTGTTTTGCTAAGTGGTGAGACAAAGATACTAGTTCCTTACCTTTCACTAGGAAATATTATCGTCACTAACATTGACTCTGACGCATATGTGAAACATTGATACATGTGCCTACATAAATTAACGTGAGTTGTACATATTAAAAGAAAAAGAAGAAGCTGTATACGTAATATTTAAATTTGTTTGATGAATTTCATTTTACTTATACGTAATATATACAATTTTCTCTTAATATCTTTTAAAAATACAATTATAATGATTAAGAATCCTAAAATGAATAATTTTTTAGATATGTAAATGAATTTTAACAATATTATTATAGTATATATATATATATATATATATATATATATATATTTTAGTTCACCTAACTATGTAATATTTGTATAAAAAAATTGAGGCTTTAATCCATTTTGGTTTTCATAATTTCATAAATGTATAATCATAATTTTTATAAAAATATTTTAGCATATTATAGGATCAAAATCACATATTGACTATACGTATTATAGGAATCAAAAGTGATTTTGAGTAAAAAAAGGGATTGCGAGTAGCGTCGGTGTTCGATGCTCCCATCGATTTTGACCGTAAATTTGAATTAAAAAAGAATGATTAATGGCAGATGCCAACGGTTCTGGTTTTAGCAAATAAAAATTAGTTCTAGAAATGAATTCATTTTTCCAAACAATATGCCAATTGCTATAATAATCACAACAACAAAAGGATAAAAGTAGAGTATTTTAAAAGTTAAGTAAAATATAAACGAAATAAATTTAAAAATATTAAAAAAAAACTGTTTAAAAATGTCATAGTTTAAAAAATACACAATAAAAGGAACTAAAATCTTGAACAAAATACGTGTAACTATTTCCCGAATTCGAATTTAATGTTAAACAGACTTAAGAATGAATATATGTATGCATGTACAAGATAAAGTATAATTTAATATATAAAAAATTATGTGAGTTTTTTTCCATACCCTGCAAAACAATTAATGCGTAAACACAGTTCAAAATTAAAGCAGCATCAATAAGTGGGTCTGCTGAAGCAAAACACAAAGCATAATATAAATCTTGTGGTAAAGGAATATTCTCAGACGTTGCTGGTTATCACTTGCTTATGAAGTTAGGTTTCATCAATGCTTTTTCACTGGCCTTTTGAACCTCACAATATATTGATTCCGATTTTACAAGTTTAACAAATCTCCTTATATATGTTCTCAATGTATTAGCTCAAAGTATTTGCATTTTTCTCAGACATATATGTTTTATTCTTACATATAGACAGAAATCAGGATATTCGTATTTTGTTGACAAGTGTTTGGTATAATTGGCATGCTGCAAAATTCAGAGGATCTTGCACTACGTTGTGTCTGGGGAATGGAAGTGTTGTTGGATTTGTTCTAAGAAGTGACTTACACATTTCTTCGTCTTTCACAACTTTGTTTGCTTCACGATAACAATCCAAGTCCACTAGCTTTGCACATCACTCATCTGAATCTAGTCAATATTTTCAGGTTCCAAGCATTTATGCATGTAGATTTTGACGTTCACTTTCTCAGTACATGCAACTGTTCAGCAAATTCAAACTCACCAACAAATTGAAGCTGCAGCCTCCATAAAGTTTTCTAACATAGCAACTCGTTAGTTAAATTTCAATTTCTATAACATTTTTTCTACCATTTCAAAGACAAATATTTTACGTTACAACTTTTTATTATGTTTTTTTCTATCAACCGGATTTAGTTTTACGAATGAAATCAGTAAATAATTTTTTTAGAAGTCATTATTTATTAAATTAAAAGTTAATTAAATAATGAAGTAAGAGAGGATAACTACTTGTTTTCAACCCCTCTCCATTTTATTTGAGTTTTTTTTTAACCCTTTTACTTTAAATTGATTTAATATTTATTCTTGGTAAATAGCACTCAATGAAAATTGAATTATTTTTCCAATATAAAGAATTTAAAATACAATTTTTATCCATTCTTTAAGAATATCAAGAATTTACCTAAAATAAAGAAATTTTCGTAAATTTCGAAATTCCTTGTCTAATCTATACACGACCCAATGGGATGAAACCTCTGCTCACGGCAAAACATTAACTTATCCAATTCTAATTCTCTTTTCTTCTTTTAATTTATATCTTATAATACATGTCTACTTTCTTTAATGTGTATATATTTTAAATATTAGATATAGTTTTAATTTAAATTTGTTTACATTTATAAAGTTAAATTTATATTAGAGTTTTTAAAGCCAAGGTTTTAAATTTAAGATTTTTGATTTTTTTAAACATGCTAATTGTGACATGATTTTAAAATTAAGGTATTAACACAAATTTTATTTTTCAATACTAATAATATGTCTTTAGAATACCAACATTAAATTAATTTTATCATAATAATTAATTATTTGTACATTAAATAAAATTAAAATGTAAATAAAAATTATAAAAATGTGAATCTTATAAAATATCACTATTAACATGAAACTTGAAAAAAATAATTCAAAATCGATATAACATAATAGAATTCACTTAAAATAAATCAAAATTTTAATTATTTTTATAAAACTCTTGTATTATATATTCTCAATTGCATTAATAACTTACATTTTGATTAGTAAATTTTTAAGATTGTATAAATAATCTAATAAAAACTAGATAACAAGTGAGTTAATAACTTAAAAACAATTATTAATATTACTATTTTAGAATTTAATTTAACCTAATAAAATTAATTTTCAAAATAAAATATTTTTTATATATTTGATTACAATGTCACTTATCCCTTTATATCTTCAACAAAACATTTACATGTACTCTTATACATACATACACACACACACACACACAATATATATATATATATATATATATATATATATATATATATATATATATATATATATATATATATATATATATATATAGTTTGATGAAAGATATTTTAGTTTTGAATTTGCATCAGAATCCTGTTCTTGTTTGGACCATGCACAGTTTCCCTTACAATTTTTATTTCAATCATATTTTAGTTAACTCTATGCTATGAAACATCAAATTTTGAATAATATATATTTTTAAAATAATGAAGTAACACATAATACCTTCTTTTTAATTTTTCTTTCCCAAGTAAATTATTGTATAAAACATACCATTCTCACTCAATATATATATTATATATATATATATATATAATTTAATTTTATTACTTCCTATATTTTAAATTATTAGTCTATATAATAAAAAAATATTTATCTACAAATATAATGATTTCTTATTATTTAACTGTTATAACTATTATTTATCTATAATAATAATAATAATTACTTATATATGTACTATTACCTTTTTAATTTTACTGCATGCTAAGTTATGTTTTTTACTGCTATACTTTTAAGATTACTACATGTTATTGTGTTCTGATGCTAATTTATGCGTATGTGAGTAATAACAGTTATTAGTACAATTTTTTATTTAAAAAGTAAAACTAAATGCTACTTATATAACTGATTTAATGTGATAGTGATGTCTATATATTACCAAGATAATAAAAATATTTTGATTCTTCATCAAATATAATTAACACCGTTGAATTTATTGGCATCTTATGATTATTATATCATAAACGATTATAAAATTAAAATTTTAACAAAACCTAAAAGAATTTTTACGTATATAAAATTGGTAAATTATTTTTAATTATCTAGTTACATTTAGTAATTGGTAACGCAATTACCAAGCAATTTTCTCAAATTTGACCATTTGGTTTTACTCACTCAAAATGTAGACTGGTGTACATGAAGGAAACCAAGTTATATACAGTTAAGTATCAACCTTCGTTCTCCAAAGTAAAATTACTTACCATATTTGATCTAAATTTTATGATATATTCCACTAGGTTACATACGAATCATACGTGGACAAGAAAAGAGGAAGAAAGGGACAAGATAATCATGGATTCAATTTTCAAATAAAAAACTCTGTGTATATACTCAATGAATTATAATCAATCATATCCATCCATGAATTATCCACAAATATTAATTAAATACTAGAGTAGTAAAATGAGAGCATGAGTTGCAATTCATAGACTCAACCCCATAGGCTACCAATATAAATACCACTACCCTAGTTCAGATGTTTCATCGATTCTCTTAATTCCTCCTCTAGGTTTCTTTTAGCAGACACCATGAAGGTTCTAAACTTTATTTTTGCACTGATCCTTCTTGCTGTCATGGTTCATGTTGAGACAACCCTAGCTGGTAGGGTATTGAACATGAAGGAACAACTCAGTCTTATGTCTATAGACGACAAGGGTCCTGTGCCTCCCTCAGGGCCTTCAACCTGCACATATATCCCCGGAACTGGAGGCACAAACTGCCCCCCTGCCAAGGAAATGAACATTGTCGCAGAAAACACTCAGCACCACAGTCATGGAACTACTTTTCCTCGTCTTGTTGTTCAGTTTGGTGTTGCAACAAATCAACATTGAATTGAAGCTCTCTGAATTAGCATGGAACTCTCTCTCATCTTTCTATATGTTTTATTAAGCTCAGAAGACACTTTGGTGAAGACAGAACTCTCCAGTAATTGGAAGAAATCAAAGACTATTATATACGTGTCTAACCAAAGGATCATATTGTTGGTTAATTTTTATCATATTCTGTTTTCTTGTAATCTTCCCTAGCTTGTTAATGTTGGATACAATAATTTTTCCTGTTTAGAACATTTAAGACAAGCGTATTATATATATAGGTTGTTGTTAGTTATATTTTCAGATGTATGATATATAATATTTGATTTTAATATTTATTTTTGTCCCTCTGTAAATTTACTGTATTGTATCTTATACGTAAACAATGATAAATTTTTAATATAAAAAGGAGTATATTTAATATGTTTTTAAACAAAATTTAGATTATGATTGGGATTTTAAATATTGTAATTTTTATGAATAATAATTTTATGTTTCGGACAAAATTATGATAATGTAAATTATGATATTTATAAACTAATTGTGATTAATTCTTGTTATTAATTTAAGATTTTAATTTTTTTTAAATTAAGATGATTTATAGGAGATTTGAGTATTAATTTGATAATGATATAATACAATATTATGTATTTTTGAAATATTTAGCCTAAAAGAAATATAATAAAAAAATATTTTTCTTAAAATTCTTATGGTATAAGAGTCATAACAGATTTTGAATGATCAAACAAATGACGAATAAGAAGATATAAATTATTATATAATAAAAAAATTTGAAACTCTTTAAAGAGTTGAAAATTTTATAAGGATGTCACAACAATTTCTAACAACTAAAGAAAGAAAGATGTGTATCAAAGGAGCAATAAAACTTTACAATGTTATATGAATTTAGATTATAACTATAATTATGTAGTTTAATATTTGTACTTTAATTGTTGAATGGATCAAATTATTTATTCAATTTATTATATCTATATGTGTTATACAAGATTAGAAGTTAATTGGACTAAATAAACAGCTTTACTGTTTTAAAGAATTTCAAGATGAACATACGATAAAAATGCACAACTAATATCAAATGTTCACACTAAAAATAATCAACTTAATTATAAATAAAACTTGTGATATATATCAAAGTTAAAACATAATTTTTTTAAATAATAATAAAATTACTAGTATAATTTAAATTTTGTTTGTAATTGATGAAATTTTTTCATAACCATCTCTTTTAACTTTAATTTAATATTGTCATAAAATAAAACATGACGTATAAAAATTGTCAAAAAATTCTGTCACTATTATAACCATAAACATACTTTTGTCATTGATAGGGCATTAGAAAAGAGGTTTGAGACAGACGTTAGAGTATTAGGAATATTTTGTGTGTAATTTTTGTATTCTTAGTTAGTTGGTTGTCTGACCAGGACTTTAGTTAGGTTTTTTATTGGACCTTATAAGTCAGTTAGTTGGGTCCACATGAACAACAAGGACTTTTTAACTCATTGCAAAAAAAGAAAAAGTTGATAATTGACTTTGGTATACTTTCTACATTTTAGGAAATTACTAAGCACGCAAAGGAAATCTTAAACTTTAAGAATAAATTAGATCACGTTGAGTAAAAATATAAATATTATTAATGAAAATGGAAAACTAAAAATAAAAAAACATCTTCTAACTCAGTTTTGATTTTTTATTTTTTAAAAATAAAAAACAAAAATAATTTTTAAAAACTAATTTAACAATAATAAAAAAATGATTTTTTTTTTAACTAACAAGCCTTTGTATGATATAGATAACAAGTGTAAGAAATTTATCACGTTGAATATATAGTGGTGATTTAATGACTTCATATCATGTGTTTGAGTAAACTAATGACACATTCACGTCACGTCAATATTGGCGCACTCTGGGTTTGGAGTTTAATATGAATCGCAAGCACTTTGAGGTACTTAAAATGTAGAATGTCAACCCTTAAAAAGACTTACACGTGGTTGGAATATCTTGTAAGAATGACCAAGTTATATACTACTCTAAAAGAATTTGAGATTCACTTTTTTAATTGAAAGAATTAGTTTTCTTTTTATTATTATGTGGAACTCTAGATTTTTACTAAATAACTCTATTATTTAAGGTGAAAAACTCTTGAACTTATCAATATTTATACACTGTGGAGCATATTTTCCATTTATCAACCTAAATTATTTTTTCTATATATATATATATATATATATTTTAATTCCTAATCTTTGAATTGCTTAAAAGGATATTGAATTTAATCCATAAACAGGAGACCTTCGTGATTTGATATCAGAGGAAGGAATTCAACATCAACTGGATAAACGTGTGTCAATTTTGTGCGAATTGAAGTGGTCAACTTTGCTTGCAGAAGTTCGTAGCATTCTTCTGGAGGCGTTTCTGGCATTGGCAATGGCAGCTAGAGTGAGTTCAAAAAAATCTGATTCATGGTATCTGCTTGGGACATGTACACTCAGATTGATTACAACACTACAGTATCGATTATGCAATTTATTTGGCACTAGAGTAACATCAAGATTCAACTGTGATGGCGACGTTGGAGAGATTAGACTCACCTTATGCACCTATCCCACTTTCCTGTGCCAGATGCAGGATCTGACCAACTTTTTCTTTTCTTGTTTTCATGGAAAACTTGGTTACTTGGATACATACAGTATAACTCATGTAAGTCTTTTCAGCTGTCTCCTTCATCGATCGTGTGTGCGCTTCAGTTTGCATGGAGAAACACTGTGTAGTCGTTGGGAATGTCCCCATCATCTAAACCTGCCTTTCATGACAATTCTTAATTCATGCATGTTTTAATGCTCCTCGGCTACTAAACATGCATTTTTAAAATTTGAAATCAATTTTTTATACAATAGCTTTTCTAGTACTTTTCCATGAAATAAAATAATAGAAACACTCATATTCAAATACTTTTCAACAACATTATTATTATTCGATCAGGCTATATCTTACTTGATACAAGAAAGTGGAGGAAAGGGAGAACCACGATTCAATTAATTTAGATAACAAAACAGATTAACGGATGTAATAAAATTATTGGGACGGCTTCTTAGTTTACCTAATCTACCAACACAATGAGTTAAGGTGAGACGGATGGGTTAATTGATTCTTCTACTTTAAAAATAATTTATAGGTTAAAATTAAAATTAAAATTAAATAATTAAATTATTTTTTTCATATTATTAAAATATGTAAGTATATTATAATATTATAATTTAAATTATAATTATTAATCAATTAAGTTTAAATTATTGATTATAATTAGTTATTTTAATAAATAAATATAATAATTTTTTCAATTTATCTAATAAAATATTAATCAATAAATAAAAATTTAAAAAATATGTATATAATTAAAGGTGTATTAAAAAAAATTAATGACATGTTGACCAGATAGTCTGTCAGCCCACTTTTTGATGGGACAAATTGAGGTCTATAACTTATCCTGACTTTGATGAATTAGTCTATTCTATTTCGTTTTTTGAGCTAGAAAAAGAACGAAACAAAACAAGATGAATTGACTTGTTTCATCATTAGGGGTGTAAAAGTGAATGAACTCTACTCAATCGAGTTGTCTTAACATGACTAATGCGTTGAACTTAAAATAGAGAATTCAACCCAATTTATTTTATGACAAAACAAAATTTTATAACCTGACTTAACCCACTACGAACATAACAAATACAGTAAATGTGGTGGATGATGCAATACATGCATGAATACAATAGACACAATTGAGGCTGAAGATGCACTGGAGGTGGTGGACGCAAAGAAACTTGTTGATGCAATAGAGGTAGGCAGACACAAGTGGACATGAAAAATGTGGTAATAGATACAAATGATACAATAGATTAGACGAATGTGGTAGACAACAAGCAACAAAGTTACAACAACCTTGAATGAACTCGTTTAACCATTTGTGAGGTAAACTAAATTCATTTTAACCCCCCCCTTACTCAAATTGGTGATAAACCAAGTTAAGGCACCTGTTAGAACATATTGACACTCCTATTTTTCATCCTTACAATTAATTCACAAACTTGGACCATGAATAAATACTCTTATGTCATGAGTTTTTTTTTTTTTTTTTGGTTGAATAGTAATGCTAGTGATATAGTCATTACTAAAGAGAAATCGTAAACCAAAAGGCACGAGTCACACAATTAATAGACTCAAGGATATGGTTGCCAATATAAATACCCACCCCTACTGTGATACTTCATCTATCAATTCTGTCAAGTCCTCAGCTGAGGTTCTAACAAACACCATGAAGGTTCTAAACTTTATTTTGGCATTGATTCTTTTTGTTGCCGTGGTTCATGTGGAGCCAAACCTAGCTAGTAGGGTATTGAAGATGAAGGAACGAGTGAGTCTTGTGTCTCTGGACAACAAGGGTCCTGTGCCTCCATCGGGGCCTTCAACCTGCACATATATCCCCGGAACCGGTGGCAAAAATTGCCCCCCTGTGGAGGAGATTATGAATGTTGAAGAAAACACTCGGCACCACAGTGCTGAAACTGAAACTTATCGTCGTCTTGTTGTTCCAAGTGGTGTTGCTACTAATCAACATTGAAGTTCTCCTAAGCATGAAAGCCTCTCTAGCTATAAATTTTATTTAAGCTATTGGAATAAATCAAAGACTATCTGTTTCTAGCAAAATAATCTTTGCTTCATTTGTTTTTATCATTATTGTGTTTGGCTAATCTTCATGCAGTTATATTATATGCTTTACAATGTTGGATATAGGCATTGATTTCCTTTTTCTATAACATTTATAAGACAATTGCATTATACATAGGCTCTTCTTCATTAAGATTTATTATATACAAATAATTTGTTTAAGGGTTAAGTATGTTTTTAGTCCATGTACTTTCATGTGAAATTGGAAATAGTTCCTCTGTCAAAGTTTACATAAAAATGATCCTTATAATTTTAAAATAATTGGAATAAGTCCCTATTTTAAACGACGTTAAATATATGGTGACCTGTCTAACAGAGATAATATGATCCTTTATTATTTGACATGTGTAATTATTTTAAAAAAAGCAAAGCTCATTTAAAAAAAAATAGAAATTATTCAATAGAGATTATTATTAAAAAAAAAACCAAAAAAACAAAATTAAAAAGTAGAAGCTTTGTTTTTCTTCTCACGCACCAAAATTCTTCAGTTCTCGTCACAATCACTTTTCATTCTCTCTTCTTTTCTCATCACAACTACTTTTCGTTCTCTCTTCTTTTCTCGTCACACACCAAATGTTTTTTCTTTCTTCTATTTTCTCTGTAAAGGTTGTATGAAATCAAAGTGACTTTGAAATTCGAGGGTTCCATCGATTCGTTGTGGTTCAACTGGCAGTGCGACGGTGGTGCACAACAACAGTGTGTGACGATGGTATACCATAGCTAGGGTTTTCATTTTCGAAAATTAAGGTAGAAAAGTTTAAATGGCTTATAAATGACAGAGAAATTTAAATTTCTTTTTAAATGACTTTTAAATATTATAAATGCGGATTTAAATGACTTTTGAAAGCTTGACATATTTTAATTTTATTTTATTTTATTTTTTTAAATAATTACACGTATCAAATAATGAATGAGTCATACCATTTCTGTTAGACATGTTAGCATATACTTAACATCGTTTAAAATATGGACTTATTTCAATCATTTCAAAAGTATAAGGATCATTTTTATGTGAACTATGACAGAAAGACTATTTTCAATTTCACATGAAAGTACAGGGACTAAAAATATACTTAACCCTTTGTTTAATTACTCATTTGAATGAACAAATTTAAAATCACTTGTCTATCATTGTCCGGAGTGGATCATGATCGAAAGAATGATGAAAATTAAAAGAAAAAAATATATGAATAAGAGTAGTCACCATAATTTCTTTAAAAAATAAGTCAAATATATATGTGTATATATATATATATATATATATATATTTATATTTAAACTAAATTTTTAAGTCTGGAAGGGTAAAATCATAATTGTTTTCTATAAATTATATAAAATAAAAAACTCAAATAGGATCTTGAAATTAGTAATTCTTACATATCTTAAAGGGAGAGAGAAGATACATACCTTTCTTCATAATGTAGGTTCTACTGAGTACTCTTTGTAAATTATTCAGACAAGATAAGAATAAGATTTCGAGTCATGACGATTATACATCACTTAATTGACATACTTCCATTAATGTATTACAAATTAGATTTCTTCTCAATATCAACATAATTAGGAGCTCATAATTAGTTTAATATAATGTCTTCAATCAAGACGATACTTATTTACATTGTTCTAACACAATTATAGATGAAATTATAAAGAACATATAATTAGAAACATATTATAATTGAGTTCAACGTGTCAATTGTTTAATACATAATAAACATAATACTCAATAATCATTTCTAACAATAACACCCATGTTTTCAACATGTTCAATAAATATTTTGGATGGTAATCCCTCTGTTAAAGGGTCAACTATCATAAGATTTGTACTAATATATTCTATTGACACTCTTTCCTTTTAAACTTCCTCATTAATGACAAAGTACTTTAACTTCATATGTTTAATACCTTTAGAATACTTGTCATTTTTTGAGAAAAAATATTGTTGCCCTTTGAGACCTCCTTGATGCTGCTTCTTGTGCTTCTTCTACAGTAGGTTTATTTTGAATCATGGATTCATCATTATGTTACTCTTTTTCATTGTTGTTTGACACAACAATTGAAGGAACACTTACTTTATTTCTAGAGCCATAAGGTAAGGGAACTTGCACTCTTATTTCTTTAATTTTCACTTGTCGTGAAATTGAACTCCCACTAGTTTCACCATTCTCAATGAACCTTGTATTTCCAGTTTTGACAATTCTCATACTATGATTAGGAAAATAAAACATATACCTCTTTGACTTTTCTGGATAACCAATAAAGTATCCACTGATTATTCTTGCATCAAATCTCTTTCTTGTGGATTATAAACCTTTTATTTATGCTTGACAACCCTAGACATGCATGTGTCTTATATTGGGTGTCCTACCAGTCCACAGTTCAAAATGTGTCTTTGGAACTGTCTTACTAGTAACCCTGTCCAACAGATATACAAAAATTTTTAAAACATACATCTACAAATAAATGGATAAAGAAGAATTGTTTAGCATACTCTTAATCATATCCCACTACAAGAAAAAACACTTTTAGCGATCGAAAAAATCGATCGCTAATATCAAAGAATCGGTCGCTAATCACTTAGTGACCGAAATTAGCGACCAAAATGTGTCATCGCAAAAGGCCAAGTCGCTAAATCGTTAGTAACCGATTTTCATTTCGGTCGCAAAATAGTGACCGATAAGGTGGTCGCTAAATAATTCGGTCACTTATTCCTTAAAGACCAAAATAGCGACCAATAATATCAGTCGCTAATATATTAATTGATTTATTTAAATAATAATTAAAATCGATCGCTAAATCGGTCTCAAAAATAGCGACCGAAATTAATATATTAAATCGAGTCGCTAAATTGGAGGCAAAATTAAAAATAATAACGACCGATTATATTGGTCGCTAATATAATTAAATTATTTAAATAATAATTTAAATTGATCGCTAAATCGATCGCAAAAATAGCTACGGAATAATTTCGGTTACTAAATTTCAATTATATATTATAATATATTTGTAGCGACCAAAAATTCGGTCACTAATCTAACCAAATCTGAAATTTATTTTTTAAATTTTGTATATCCAATTTTGCAGAATTTGTACCTGCTTAATTGATCCAAACATAACACAAATGAAAACTTAAGAACTAAAGTCAAATTATTCAAATCATAATAGGAACATATGAAAACTTAAGAGGAACAATTCAAAGTCATGCAAGCACTCAAGATATAAAGTCATAATAAAAATAAAATGTTTCTAAACAACCACTCAAGATTCAAAGTCTTAATATGATAAAATTGGAAATTAGTCCTTTGATATATTGTCAGTATCATGTTGACTTGTAGTAGGATGACTAGGGTCAGGCATAGGATGACTAATGTTGTAAAATAAGCTTCATCTGCTCATCTTGTTGGCGTTGATTATTCCTCAACTCCTGCATCTCTTCTTGACTTCTTCTCTGCGCTGCACATATTGCTCCTAAAAATGAAGTGAAATATAATTATTGTAAAGAAAACATATACAAAATAATAAACTATAACTTAGATGTTAAACATACAACAAGATAACGAGTCTTTTCATTGACCTAATGTCCAGTCTTTAATTTCTTTGTCCTCTCAACAACCTCCCAAACGGTTGGTTCCCGTTGAAACTCCGTAGTCTGCACATTAAAAATGAGACAAAATTCACTACCTAAAGTCTAATATATTGTATTAAATTACTTATATAAAAGTATAATACAATTACCATCTTCTCAAAGTGAGCTGCAGTAGATATGGAACCCCCACAGTAAGTTGAGGCACCCTTATCAAGCACCCGATTAGCCTTGGCAATGGTGCCCTTGAGCTGGAACTCACTCAACTCTCATTCTTACAAACAAACTCATTTAAAGAGAATAACCCATAAATATTGTGGGCACGAAAATAGTGCAAAAGTCAACTTGACAAAATGTGGCATATCACGATAAACAAAATAAAAAAATTCAGAATTCGGTTGTCGGAAAACCGAATTCTAAATGGTTTGAAAGAAAAAATAATATGCAACTACGTTCAAATTTCGTGTACCAGGGAGTCGAATTTGCAACTTAAAAAAATTGTGTTATGTAGGTAAATAAAACCTACATTATATTATTTGAGTAATTAAAAAATGAATATGTACCACTGCAAAAAAAAATTTGTATACTTAAAGTAAAAAATATTTCAACTAACGATAATTATATTTTTATAAATAATTTAATTACATAATATATTTATTATCTAATGTATATCAATTCTATTTTGATATAAATTTTTTCTGGTATATCAATTATATGAAAACAACCATGGTTAAGTAATTAATAATAATAAAGCAATAAATTTAAAAACTAGATTAAAAATAAAGTATTATAAAATAAAATTGTAATAATTTGATTGAAATTATAATTTTTTTAATTAGTTAAGTTAATGAAGAATTAAAATATGATAATTTGATGTGTTCAATTTTTTTAATATAAATTTTTAAAATATAATTTAATTTCAATTGAAAATTATATTAAAGAATATTTGTTATTAAACTTTTCTTAAACATTGTATTGAATAGTTAATATTACTCAAATCTTAATTTATTACAATTTAATTTTTTAATAATTTTGATTTATTTTTAATAATATTTTTCTTTTAGTAATTTAAAATTAAAGTTAATATTCATTTTGTTAACATTGAGACCAAAGTTTATTTTTAAAGTATATTTTAAAAAATAAATTACTTTTAATAAATAAATTTTAAAAAATATACTAAAACAAATAAAATATATTTATAAAAAATAAATTTAAATATAATTAAAAAAATTATGTCTATTAGCGACCGATTGTAATTCAGTTGCTATTTTCTCATTAGTGACCGATTTCAATTCGGTCACTATTTCAATTTGTAATTCGATCGCTAAATCAGTCGTTAAATAATTTTCTTTATTTTAGTATGGAATAGCCACCGATTTAGCAACCGAAATTTTGCGACGCAAATTATTGGTCGCTATTTCGGTCGCTAAATATAAAAGTGAAACCAAATCATATTTTGGTGACAAAATCGGTCGCTAATTGCAACCAAATTACATCGATCGCTAAATTGTGACCGAATTAAATCGGTCGCTACTAATGGCGACCGAAAAAATTCGGTCACTAATTTCAGTCGCTAAAAATATTTTTTCTTGTTGTGTCCGTTGATGTTCTATTACACCTTTATGATACACCATTTTACATGACATTGTGTACTATGCACAAATGTCACGTTTCTGAAGGAGTTTAGCGAATGGACCGGGGTGTTTCCTAGTCTCATCATTTTTATTAGAAATCACTCAAGAACTTAGGAGAATCACTCTCACTAAGATAAAAGAGATAAACTCTAATATTTCTAAAAATAAAACTCAACTTGTTATTTCTGATAAAAATGGTTCAGCTTATAAAGAAGTTTTGCCATCAGAATTACAAAAGACTCAATAAAAGAAAATAAATACTAATAATAACTCATTAATCTAGGAATTGAAAACTATTTAACGAAAACAAATAAAGGCCAATAATGATTCATTAACTTAGGAATTGAAACTACTTAATGATTGATTGTATCTGAAACTGTGGCAACCAAAAGTCAATCAGCTATGTACCCCTTAGTTTCCTAAAGGCTGATGACTAAATTTTCAATTGGGCCCTTATTACAACTTAAAATAAAATCAAACTAAAGCCCATTAATTGATTAATTCAAAATATAATTTGGTCAACCAACAATATTTGTTGAATAGCTTCCTTTATTTCCCTTGCTCTAGCCCTTATCATAGGTCATGTTCATATCAGATTGTTTCTCTAAAGTCATTGCCACTGCACCAAGTCATTTGAATGAGCAATTGTTTAATAATTTATAGTTTGTCCCTTTCATCCCTTTCATCTTTTCTAGACCTAGAAAAAGACCTTTTTCTTCATCACTAAATGTGGATAAGTTCCTTTTGTAATTGGTTTAAAAGAATTTTTAATTATCTAGAAGTTTTATTTTATAATTAAATACTACATATAAGATGGTGCATTTCATCATATATCTTAGCAATAATTTAATATATAAAAAATAGTGTAAACTACACATTCACAGTAAATGATTAATACATTTAATGAAAGTATTTGATAATTATTTGTAAAAAATATTGTAATGGTTGGATGATAAAATAAAAATATTTTAGATGTAAAATGATTTGTGTGATTATACATACATATCTATATGATCTTTTAACATGAAAAATAGTTATTTAAATTTTATAAAATCTATTTTAAGACATCCAATTTAATTAAAATTATCAATCTTATATTTTAAACAAAATAAAATTATTTCCTAAAAGAAGATGCTAAACATATTTATGTTGAAAACATATGCCGAACAAAATATTAAAAAAATGCCAAACATAGAATAAAAGATTAATAAAAAATGCTATACATAAAACAAAATATTAACAAATAGCATTAAGTAAAAGGAAATTATTTGTATATGTTTTTGGTTTTATATATATATATATATATATATATATATATATATATATTGTAAATTTCACTTATAGTATTATTTATATATTGAAACATATTTATAATAATTTTTTTGTTATGTAAAATAAATATTTATGGTATGAAATTTTTTCCCGTATATATGATATATATTCATTTAAAAATATGCATTTAAAAATGTATTAAGACATAGAATACAAGGATTATTCTACATTATCACTACACAGGATATAAAAAAAAAAAATAGACATCCCAAAAATTTTAGACTATCACCACTGTAGTCCATAAAATATAATTTTGTTACAAATAGTTTGAGTTGAGAATACCAAATCAAAACATGCCAAAAATGTTAATCAAGACAATAGTTTTTTCCCTTACACAATGAACAAAAAAATCTTCATGCATGACTTATAAAACCAAATATGTATAAAAAAATATAAAAGTAATAATAGTTTAACAATCGGTTATATAATACATAACAAATTGATAATCTAATAAATCTATAACTCCTCTATACTTTTTATGAGGTAAACTATATATTCACACATTGATAAAAACACTTCACTGTTGATAATGTAATTTTCTCCGTGGAATATATGTGGCACTAAGATTAAAATGCGTAGTGATATTTGAGATTGGATTCAGTGTATCTGTAAAGTACCTACCCCACTTATCTGGCCAACTTTTTATTTTCGTATCATGGAAAGGTTATTACTTACTTTGATTACGATATATAACTCATCTATATATATCATCGTAGCTTTCAGCCTTTTACTTGATTGCTTGTGCAATGAGTATGCACTGACGAAAACCCTGTGCCACAGTTTGGAATGACAGCACCAACCAAAGTTGCCTTTATAATTCTTCAGGTTAATTGTGGTATGCTATAAAACATGCACTGAACGAAGTGATATTTTTATATCAATGTTGTCAGTTATCCATCTACATCAAGTTAAGTCAAAACTTGTCTCCAAAGTTAAATTAGTTATCATCTTCGATCTCAATCCCTTTTATCAATACTGTTCAACTAGGTTACATCAACTACGTGGATATAAAGTGGAAGAAAGTGATAACCATGATTCGATTTTCAAATCAAATCTGTACACCCTGAATTGATCAGAATATATATGAGGTATTCCTATGTCATGCCTTTTTGTCAAATACTAAATGCTTTTATTATCAGTAGTCAAAAATAAATCTTAAAGTATAACAATGAGTCACTGATCATAGACTCAACTCGAACTATAAATACCCTACTCTATCGAGATGCTTCATCAATTTTCTTGCTTAACACACATAACAATGAAGGTTCTAAACTTTCTCTTGGCTTTCATTCTGCTTGTTGCCGTGGTTCATGTTGAGCCAAACCTAGCTGGTAGGGTATTGAACATGAATGAACCACTGAATCTAATGTCCCTAGACAACAAGGGTCCTGTGACTCCCTCAGGGCCTTCTACCTGCACATATATCCCCCGAACCGGTGGCAAAAACTGCCCTCCTCTGGAAGAAATGAATGTCGCAGGAAACTTTCAGCACCACGGTGGTGAAACTTATCCTCGTCTTGTGGTTCCGTTTGGTGTTGCAACCAATCAACACTGAAGCATGAGCCTCTCTTGGCTATAAGTTTTATTCAAGCCTGAGAGCAACGACTACACTATTATATCTATATTCGTGTGTGTCTAACAAAACTGTCATTGGTTAATTTATTTATCATTAGTAAGTTTATTTGTAATCTTATGTTACGTGTTTTTTAATGTTGGATATAGGCCTTATGCTTGTTTAGAAATATAAGACAATTGCACTTTATATATACACGCTTTGTTTACTATGTTTTGAGTCGTGTGATATCAAAATATTAATAAATAATTTGTTAACTAATAATCTCATGGGACTGTTTACACACAAAAGTTACAAAATAAAAAAAAAATTCCCTATTTTATAATGAGAATATATCACTTTGTTTGGAACTTCAGCGAATAATGAAAATATATCACTTTGTTCGTGTTATATGATGAGATATCTCTAAACTGAATAAATTAGATTCAATTCGTATTTTGACGTTCATCACGCTCTGAGTACAAACTGTTCAACAAATTCCAACTTCTGAACTAATTGATCAAGCTGTAGCCACTATAAAGTTTTTCAACCAAATAAATGATCTAGTTGAAATTAATTCATGCATTGATATCTGTCTCTGCTCTCCGTAAAAGTTGATTTAAGTGATGATTGATTATTTATTTATTACTTTAAAATAATGATCAATTGAAACATTAACCCTAATTAATAATCCATTCTACATCATTATGTACGTAGCTTCGTGCACATATATATAATTTATGATTTGCAATAGATTTTAATCAGTAATAAATAATATAAGATAAATAAGTTTGTTATTAACATTTTGTATCATATATAATTTCTTTATATTTTGTAAGGAAAAAATTGTTTATAAACGTAATACAAGAGATACTGTGCCAAACGTGTTGAGGAATGAATAGATATAAAAATAAATTTAAGATATAATTATATATTTTAAATTTTTATGAATATTAAATAATTTGAATAAAATGAAACAAAATATCTTATATCATACAATTTCATGTTAACATAATACTTTCTATTAGTTTGCAACAGGAATAAATCTCTTATATTATTATGCATACGAGAGAAACAAATAAAATTTAAACAACGTAAAAATTAACAAGAAATTACTACCTCTAGTTTTCTAAATAATCTCAATTTAAACGAATTAAAAGTGTTTACTCATACCACCACTTGATTTTGGCCAACAGATTTTTTTCTCAGTTAACCTTGTGTAATTTTTTTGAGAATCATCTCTCCTAAACTATGCAAAGACTTTGTTACGTATTTAAAACGAATTAAAAGTATGATGAAACAATTTCTAGCTCTTTTTTTTTCATTATCTAAAAATAGACACTTCATTAACTAAAAAATCCCTGAATATCTTATTTTATGAAGTAAAGTAACAACGTTGACATATACTCAGATTGATAACAGTACTTCACTATCGATCATGTAAGGTATTGTAACTTAAAGATTCAAATGTAATAGTGATTCAGAATTACCTACCCCACTTTTCAATGGCAGATGCTAAAAATGCAGGATCTAACCAACTTTTTATTTCCTTATTGTGATGGAAAAAGGTTAATTATTTATATAATTGTTTTTCTCATCTAAGTCATGGCAGCTTTGACACGTCTTCATGCTTGCGTGTGCGCTGGTGTTCGCATGAGAAAAGCCCTGTGCGAGTTCGGAATGTTCCCACCTTGTAAACTCGGTTCTTAGACTTCTTAATTCATGCATATTTTAATTGTGTGACATAAAACATGCATATATACATTTTAGATCTTGTAGTCTATTTGAATTTATCCTTTTTATATTGTGTATATAAAAATAATATATAATGCATGCCTTTAGGTATATATATAATTTGTCATTTATACTTACGTTTAATCATTTACTATGACGATAGTGCCAACAAATTTGACCATATCTCCTTCACTTGCTCAAAGAGGCAAGTAGTTAACTAGCCAAACTTGTTCTCCAAAGTTAAATTAATTATCATATTTTATGTAATTCCTTTTTAATAGAACATTCAATTAGGCTACACATGAATTAATAGGACAAGTAAGTGGAAGCATTAATGGATAACCATGATTCAATTTTCAAGTCTAATCTGTACAATTATCCAGCATGTGACTAAATACTAGTATAAATTAATAGTCAAAAGTAAATCATAAAATAAAAGCATGAGTCATATAGATTCAACAGGAAAGACAACCAATATAAATACCTCCACCCCCATTGAGATGCTGTATCAATTGTCTTGCTTCCTCCAGTTTTCAAACACACATAATCATGAAGGTTCTAAACTTTATTTTGATTCTGATTCTTGCTGTGGTTCATGTTGAGCCAAACCTAGCGGGTAGGGTACTGAACATGAAACAACAACTGAATCTTGTGTCACTAGAAAAGGGTCCTGTGCCTCCCTCGGGACCTTCTACATGCACGTATATCCCAGGAACCGGAGGCAAAAACTGCCCCCCTTTGGAGGAAATGAATGTGGGAGGACACGTTCAACCCTCCAGTGCTGAAACTTATCCTCGTCTCGTTGTTCCATTTGGTTTGGCAACCAATCAACATTGAATCTCTCTTAAGCATGAAACTCTCTGGTTCTAATTAATCTCTGAGCACAATTTTTGGTGGAGGGAACGCTTCAATGCTTGGAAGAAATCAAACATTACATTATATATTATAAGGATACTGTTTCTGTTTAACAAAAGGATATTTGGTTTATTTATTATTATCATTATTATTTTAATTTGTAATCTTCTGCAGTTTATGTAACACATGTTTTATTGATGTTCTTGGATATAAAAGTTGACTTCAAATATTTTTTTCTCCCCAGTAATTATTTGTTGTTTGTATAGTATCAATTTTGTTAAACTTCATGGAATAATCAACTTTTTATATTGGTTTTATAGTGTGTGAGATAATATATTGCTTTCTCAAAACTAATAGATTTGTTGTACCGAAAAAAAGAAAGAAAGTAATATCAGAATCAGTTCTTCTTTTCCTCTAAAAAAGTATTTGTTGTCAAGTTTGGTTTCTTTTAATGCTACAATTATCCAAATATTATATGTTAAAGTGGAGTCCAACTCAGAAGATGGTGATTATGTGTACTCTCACGTATTTGGATCAAGTTTCGTGAGAAGAGAAATAAAACAAAGATAAACAGCTAACTACGGCTGACTTTATATTTTTCCGTGGAAAAGCTTCTTTGGTCGTACCAATTAGTGCTAATTAAGGAATTTAATAAATTTAGATAATGATAATATTATTAAAATTATTTTTCAATATTTTTATTTAATTAACTAATATATCTCTACTTAAAGATGTATTTTTTTATTAAACAAAATAATGCAGAAAGTAATCGAGATAATTTAAAAAAAAACATATAAAAAGGACAAAAGAAAATGCTATGGATGGAATGTTTCATTTCATGGTGCGGTGAGTGGAGGAAAATGTTTGCACTGATCGACTAGAAAAGTATGATGTCAAATTATTCCTTTCCCGCACTGATTAATGTTTTCAGATCGGGCATATTAGATTGTAATTACTTTTTTTTTTTTTAATTTTCTGATGTAAAGTCAAACTTTAAATTCGCCACTTAAAATGTTGACAAGGATTTTTCTAATTTACAAAAAATGTCAAACACTTTTTAAATCGTCCAACAAATGAAAATTAAAAGGAATTTATTTTATTGAAAAGTATAATATTTTAATGTAACTAACTTTTTTACGTGACAATGATGATGATTTTTAATGTAAAAAAAACTTTTATTTATCAGTAATTCGTAATTGAATAATGCCTCCTTTATATATAAATTAATAATTCCTTGATTATTGTACTAAAATGCAATGTATAAATTCTGAACACTTTCTCCGTTATTGTTGTAGTTATTGGTGCATATTGTTGGGACACCAATACAAAATAGAAATCAGAATAATGACTATTGCTTGAAAAATACTAGATGTATTTTTTTTATATAATTATTTGCTATTTATACAAAACTAAAATAAACTAGAAACTGATTTAAGTCACAATACTTCCTCTCAATTCAGTTTTTTAATATAAAAAACATTCAATTTATCTCTTAAAAATCTAAATCTCTCTCCCTTCGTTGGTTTGGTTAAAACATCTCCAATTTGATTATGGGTGTTGCATAATACTAGCTCCAATTTTCTTCCATTCACTTGATCTCTCAGTTAATGAAATTTAGTTTTAATATGCTTACTCTTTCCATGAATTACTTTTTTGACAGGTTTATTATTGATTTGTTGTCGATAAACAACTTCATTCTTATATCATGCTTTTGTTTCAATTCAATTAACAATTTGTCCAACCATATAGCTTGACATGTACACATAGCAGCAGCTATATACTCCGCTTCGTATATAGACAAAACAACCACTGGTTCCTTCTTTGAGCTTCACGAGATCGGAGCTCCTTCCACAAAGAACATAAAGCCTACAGTGCTCTTACGATCATCCTTATCACCTTCCCAATATGCATATAAGAACCTAACAACTTCAGTTTTCTCAACTAGTGTATTGTTCTATAGAAACGAATACCATTTGTCATGGTTCCTTTGATGTACCTGAGAATCCGTTTAGCAGCTAAGAAATCAGATGCCTTGGGACTCTGCATGTATCTTGATATTACTCCTACAGAAAATTCTATATCAGGTCGTGTATGACAAAGATATCGTAAGGAGGCCATAATTTTCTTATACTCAGTTTCATCAACTTGCTCATTAGTCCTTTCTTTTTCCAACACTAATCCAGCTTCTCATGGAGTAACAACTAGATTACAGTTTAACATGTTGAATCTCTTTAGGAATGATTGAATGGTGGGGGTTTTTGCATGAGTTGATATAAATGTGGTTAGACACACCATGTGTTTGACTAAATGCCCATTTGAATCTTGTGCATATTTGGTTATCTGTGTGCGTAGTGTTTGATGATTTTGTGGAATAGAAAGTGGTTTACGTGTATCTGGTCACATTGCTTACCCAATTTGTGATTATTTGGTTTAGTGACTAGCTTACTTGTGTCAATATGCATCAAGTGTTTAATTGATTGAATGGGTAGCAAGTGTGTCTTTGTCTATTTCATTTGTTTACCAAGTTTTTGTAAAAGTGCCAACAACAGTTTTGATAGTGCAAATAGGACTCCACTCTCTTCTAATATGTTTAGGGGTCGTAATGTTGGGTTGTATGTGTGTTAATATCCTTTCGACTAACCCATGTCTCTCTGTTTTGCATCTAACCCCTTTTGCAGTTAATTTATTTCTTATCTCTCTATAGCATCATGTCAAAGAAATCCACTCACCAAATCCCAGCATCTAAGAAGCGGAAAGGCCAATCTTCTTCCCAAGCAACAATTCCTGCTGATACTATGCCACTGTCATCGTTCATTTGGCAGCGTGGAAAATTTTTAACTAAAGAAAAACAGCAGAGCTTCTTAGACATTGAGGGCAGAAAAATCTTAGAGGAAAGGAGTGTAAAGCTTAAACCTGGAGAGTGGGATGAGTTTCAAGAAGAGATAAATAGGAGGAATTGGGGAAGATTGGCTCAACATGAAGAAACATTTAATGAGACACTTGTAAAAGAATTCTATGCCAATGCTTTTCCTCTCCACAGGACAGAGAAGACTAGAACCTCTTGGGTTAGGGGCACTCACATCCCTTATGATAGAGACGCCATTGATGAGTTTCAGGGAACTAACTACAACATTGGGGACGACGGCAGGGATACATTCACCAGGTTGCGAAGAAATATGTATTTCCAGCCCAACGTGCTTACATATGTTCTTTGTCTACTTGGGAGATCATATGAGGTGGGGCGTACTGGGAAGCCAGTTAATTTTTTAAGGAAAGACTTGAAGACGCTGGTCCGGATTTGGCAGAGTTTCATTTATTGCAACATCATGCCTTTGACTCACATTTCTGATCTAAACATCCCCCAGGCTGAAGTCATTTGTTGCATTCTGGAGAGGTATGGATTAGACATAGCCCGTATCATCTCTAAATAGATTCACTCCTGTGTGCTCTCAGCACCATTACCCTTAGGAGTCAGCAAACCCCTTGCATTTCCAGGGTTAATTATGGGGTTGCTGAAGACCCATAAAATATCCATTCCACCTCATCCCTTTAGACCACTGCAACCCCCAATCAATGTTGCATACATTATAGCTATTGCCATAACCCGGATGAAGGAGTACATGACCCTCAACTATTAAGACAACCTCGTCGTGGTCCTGTTCCACCTTCTGATCTAGCATACCTTTCACTGCAAGTTTCCAACCTTTCTATAGTTGTTCAACACATGGGGTAAATGCAAACTTCCAATCACTTGGCCCTACAGTCCCTCAACAAAAATCTTTATCAGCAGCACCAATGACAGTTCCATGCAGGTCCGGAGTTTGCTTGGCCAACACCAACCACCTTTGATTCATATATTCAGTGGCCTGGGGACATGCCTGTCTTTCCAGGAGGGGGGCAGGGCCAACAACCAGCAGAAGATGAGGAAGTGGAAGCAGAACAGGAGGAAGAGGAGCCCTGATCAGGAGTAACATTGACATTTCTTGTTGTTTTTGTTTTAATATTTACATATTTTGTGCAGTAGTAACATTTAGTTCATTTTGGTAGCTAGCAGTCAGTCTCTCATTTTGGTAGTTGGACTGGGCTAACTTGTAGTAGTTTAGAACTTTCTTTAAATTAGTTTTCAGTCTTAGGAGTAAATACTCTTTTTGGTCAAAATTAGTCACTTTTTGGTAAATTACACTTTTTGGTATTCACTAGGAATCACTTTTTGGTACAACATTTTCTTAGAAAGAAAATATAATAGAAATAAAACCATACCTTTTTTTGTTGATAACTCAAATTTTTTTGAGAAGAAAACTGTCGGTTAAAACAAGAAATAAGATTGATGATTTTGTTGACTTTAAATCAAGTGGTTGAACTCTATTAATCAAGTTCTGTAACTTAAGGTATCTTCAAGCAAGTCTAGAACAAGTTTGATACTGTCTGAATTCTAAGAACACAAACCAGTCATGTGAGTAGTGAGTGAGCAAGTGAGTTAAATAGAATAGATTCTTCTGAGATTCAACATTGTGCATACTTGTTGATTTTGTTTGAGTCTTTTATGAGTTCTCTTGATTGGTAATGCATGGAAAGGATCAAGGCAGAAATTTTCTTTGTCAAATTTAAAAGCTTAACCAGTGCCAAACAACCATCCCATAAAAGTAAATATAACCTTTGCTGAAAACCATATTCTAGCCTTATATACCCGGTTATAACCCCTCAACCTAAATGATAATTTCCTCACCCCTATCCAAACTCTAGGGAGAAAAATGGAATTAAATGAGACAAGTTGAGGGGAGTCTTGAAAGAAAAGTTGTCAAGTGGTAGTTCTCTGGGAACTAATGGAAGGAGAACTTAGTTCTCTAAGTTGCTAAAAAAAAAGACTTTGAAGAAAGAAGACAAACCAATAAACTAAATAGGGTTGTACTTCAAAAGTTGAGAGTTATATGGGACAGTTGAGGTAGAAAAAGGGATTAGAGAAGGATAATTGGGGTTGAAAA